TTTTCTTCTATTAATGCTGAGTAATAGTTTGCTCTGGCATTGCGGAGGCCCCTCTTATAAGTTTTGAGACTGTCTGTCCAGATTAAACGAGATTCTTCCAGTTTGGTCAATCGCCAATTCCTTTCAAATTTTCGCGATATTTGTTTTAACTTACGGGTTTGAGAGTTATACCAAGGAGCGAACTTTCTTTGCTTTTTTAACTTCTTTTTAAGAGGAGCTACAGAGTCAAGTGTTGTTCGCAGCGAGCCTACGGCGCTATCGACAAAATGATCAAAGTCGGTACAGGAAATCTCTGTTACAGTCTCTGTTAAAAGATACATCTACCGAGTATATCAAATGTCTAGTAAAGCTGAACTAGTAATGACACTGCACCTAGATGAAATATGTTAAGAAAAAGTAGGCATGATGGTTCATTTCAGATATTTTAGCAAGTTCTCTAGAAACGGCGTTTTTGTGAACAGCCGAACTTTCACGTTATTATCATTATTATTATTGGTGGGAAATTATAACAGGGGAATGTATTTGCCGTTTTAATATCAAGAACACAACCGCGTTTTTGTGTGTATACAGGAATGTTAAAGATATTGAGGAAAACGAGGTTGACGTGACGTGATTGAATCAGGGAATCCGTGTGTCCACCACGGGAGAGGACCCTAATTGACTTTACATTGGTCATTTCAACCCGTTACGTGCTGCCACCACGGAATGCGGTGTTAAGAGGTCGTGGTCATTTCACGTATTTCTGTGAGATCAGGCTTTGCTCACCCGTGTTTACATCACGTGACGTGCACCACAGGGGGAGACAACAGTAACCACAGTAGCTAAAAGATCTTTTGCACTACGGTCTTTTAGCAAAGGACAGCTCAACATGTCTGAAGACTTTGAAATTGAGGAGGAACAGCATTTCTTTGTTGAGCCATATTTGTTTGAGCCCGAGTATACGGACGCAGAACTCAGGCTACTGGACAAAGCAGCCGCCGCAGCTCATGAGCCTCAGCCAGCTGCAGAATACCGGAGTCGAGCATTGGAAACCTGGTGGTGTAGTTGTTTCAAATGCAAAGCAATACCAAAGGACGAGGAAAGTCTTTGCTGCTCACACTGGGAATTGGCGATGCCTGCACTTGAGAATCTGGACATCAGTACTGACGAGACTGCTGCTCTTGAGAGACCGTGCATCACCAATCACCCCGTTTTTCCAAACAACTTTTTATGTCGGGGTTTCAGCACACTTGGATCACTACGGATGAACATGTTGGAGATATTTTGTGGTTTAAATTTTGTGTTCTTGGACGTTAGTCTGGGGCGCAGTCTGCCATTAGGTGTGCTAGCTGCTGCCCCCGCCGATCTCCGCAAGGGATGTGAGGACTCTATGGGTGAGTAGATAATGGCTGAATTTTCATTTTTGGGTGCACTATCCCTTTAAAAAAAAAAACAACAGCTAGGTGAATTTTTATATGTATTTCTTTTTGGTTTTTCAACATTTTAAAAAGCAGAAAATTGTACAACAGCCTGAGGTTCAGTAAGTAATCTTTAAATAATGTAAGCAAAGACTGGTAAAACAAAGTAGTAATGTCTGCTACAAGCATATTTCTGTTCAGTGGTCAGGCAAATTCATCAATGTAAGATCAATTATGAATTCTTACCAATAGATAAATTATTCTAATTTTAAAAAACTATTTCACTATATAGTTGTCAGTAACAACTATTAAGGGGATCAAATTGTTATTAAATGTGCATAATAATTATATCTAATTGATATTTCACAACTCAGATATTTTAGTCAACTCAAAATAATCAGAAATGACAATGCAATTGAGCGCAACAAACCAAATGTCCGTCCAATGCACCTGGGACTATAGGCATAGTTAGGGACCGTCCTAAAATTGCAATATAACCCATTTCAATATTTAGTACCTTATGTTTTTCAGCATAAAAATTTGCCATTATAGAGAGTGGCAGCCCATAAACATTTTATATCTGTGAGTTCAATCAATAAATCAATAAATAATTTTAAAAATGTGACAAATCACAGGGGCGGCACAGTGGTACAGTGGTTAACATTGTCACCTCACAGCAAAGGGGGTTCCTGATTTGAATCCAGGGTGGGAGGCTCCAACCCCTCTGTGTTAAGTTTGCATGTTCTGCTCCCATCTTCACATTTGTTTTTCTCCCACAGTCCAAATAAATCCAGGTTAGGTTAATTGGTGACTCTAAATTGTCTGTAGGTGTAAATGTGAGTGTGAATGGTTGTCTGTCTCTATGTGTCAGCCCTGTGATAGTCTGGTGACCTGCTGGGATAGGCTCCAGCTCCCCTCTGACCTCCAACAGGATAAGCAGTTACAGAAAATGAATGAATGAATAACAAATCATGGTTATAACTTTGCTTAATTGTACATATTTCAAGGTTGTGATGTCAACAGCTTGCTCAGTCATGAATATGTTGACGTGAAACCACCTCTGATGTGTCTTCAACATTCCCTCACAATTTCTACAGTTGTTGTGAGATGAAAACAGTGAGACTGCTCTTAGAAAATCCCTTAGCATCATTATTAATGACCTATTCCTGTCTTTTGAGATCAGAGATTGTTAGGCTATGTTTGTTTTGTTACACATAAAAACATACAGTATCCTGTCAGATGTGATTTCAAACTCTTACCAATGATAAAAGAAGAGCTGTATGCAATCATCATCAAGATCGCCCAGGTTAGTCCCATAGAGGAAGTGTACACCATCTCAGCAGTTCCAACAATGAAGGCTCCCCCAATCCACGTAGCTAGAGGATGAATAAACACACAGCAAGTAATGTAGTGGACAAACAGCAGCTTTTTGGACAGAGGATAATAATGATAATAATAATAAACTGTATTATTATGGCAGTCATGGCTTCTTTGTATATATTAAGTGAACTGCGAGCTTAGTTTTCCTCAGATTCTCTTAGTCTCTTCAACACTGTTATTGTTTAACCATGGGGAAATTCTGTCTGTCATCCTTTCTTTAACCTTTAGTGGAACGACAGTATTTAAAGCAGAAGATGAAGACTCAAATGATTATTGACTCATTGGGCTCTAGTTTCGCAGACCGGGCGAGGCGGAGGCGCAGCGCACCTTGCAAGTTTGGCACACCGTGCGCCTAGCGCAGCTACTCCTCTTTGCCACCTCCGTCCCTCCTACCTGCGCAAGTCGGAAAGAGGGAGGAGAGAAGGCATGGAGTGGATTTTACACACTTCACACCAATCAAATGAGCCCCTTTCCTCGCCCTTAAATGCGCCGCGCGAAGGCGTAATGAGAGTTTACTCAATTCGCCAGGGCAGAAGAAAGCAGCAGCGTCAGACGGCCAAACTTCTCCCAGAAGGAAAGTGATGTTTTGCATCATCAGACCTCCACGGGCTGATGATGCAAAGGTAGCCAGGGAGGAGGTCACCACAATTGTAAATCAATGTTGCGTTTCTCTTGTGCGCGCGTGCGCTCTCTCTTTCTCTCTCTCTTTCTCTCTCGCAGTCTCACTCTGTTTCTTTTCTTTTGACTTTTCTAAGATGACAGATACTGAATATATACTCCCTATCTGATGCTGTGGCTGTTTGTGGTTGGCTGAGAGGGATGTGAACTCATTAGTTTGCAGCTGTGTTAATCAAATCAGGTTGGGTTTCCATTACGCGTGCCAAATGGTGCCAATCCCCTTTGATCTGACATCAGATGTGACGGGACAGTCGATATAGAGATACATTTATGTGCTGATTGCAGATGCATTGAATAGTGGGTTTTTTTTTTTTTATTCTGGAAACCTGCCTGTGAGGTTTTGGCGACATGTGCGCACTGTCCGCCGGTCAGCCAAACTTCGGCTTACACCGTCTGCGCTCCGCCTGCACTGACAGTAGATGTGGTTCCAGCTGGCGAGCTTTTAGCGCACCTTCGGCGAAGCCTTTTGGCACGAAACTGTCACTGCGCCAAGCTGGATCTGTCGACACCTCCCCCTGCTGCGCCGCCACACCCATCTCAGCGCACCTCGGTCTGCCAAACTACCAAACTGAGCGCGCCTTGGGTTGCGCTGCTCAAAACTAGCTCTGCGCGGGGTTCGCCACCCTGCGCCACCCTGCACTGCACTGGGAAACTAGAGCCCAAGATGTTAAAGAACTCTGCCTCAGCCTTGCCGTCTAGAAATCTCTTTTGAACCAGAACTTCACCTTTAGTCTTTGCTGATTGTAGTTTGGCACCAAAAAACACACAGTGATGGTCAGAGATACTGAAACACTGTCAGTGTTTACCCCTAAGTCTAGAATGTTACCATGCTGATGACTGGCTTCATTTACATGTCGAGTAAGTTCAAAGCTGTCAGACAGATTCATAAACTCAGTCGCTGTGAAGTCTTTCTTTTTGTTGATATGAATGTTCAGGTCTCTATTCAAGATGAATCTATCATATCGAGTGATATTGAGAGAGATCAGCTCTGAGAATTCCTGGAGGAATATTGATGAATATTTTGGTGGCTGATATAATGTGTTACAATCCCCCATAGGTGAATGGGTGATCAACCTGTGCTGTGACTCTAGCACTTCCTCCCCTCTCTTGAGCCATTGGCTGGAGACCAGTAGCCAATCAGACCATCTGGGATATGTAAAGGCTTAGAAGCTGCTCTTCTGGTCCTATGTTTGCTGCCATGTGTTGCTTTGTTGGGGTGTTGCTAAGCCACTTTGTGCTGTAGTCCAGAATTCTGTGTAGCCCTGATTCCACAAAACACTTTGGGTACGGTACCTTTGGAACCAAAAGTAACCCTTCAGACATGGTACCTAGAGCCTAACGTTTCCACCGCAAACAGTACTCTTAAATGTGGGCGGAGTTGTTGTCACTCACTGTATTTCCTCATTACCAGTGACACAGATGGAAGTCTGCACATTGTTTATTGTTCAAATTCTGAATTCCCTCAAAAGCTCTATGTCTAAAGATGTATTTGGCCTGGACTCAATTTTTCTAAAAAGGAATATAGATGCATTCACTGAACCATTAACAAAAGTAGTGAATGCTTCTATCAAAGGAGATAAATATCTTAATGACTGGAAGTCAGCCATTGTGGTACCAGTCTTTAAATCAGGAAACTCAACTACTATAAGTAACTATAGACCAATCAGTACTTTGCCTGTTATCTCCAAAGTTGCTGAAAAATGTGTTGTTGAACAGCTAATTTCCCATATTAACAGTAGCCCATACACTCTGCACCCAATGCAGTTTGGTTTTCGGACCAACCACTCCACTGAGACAACAAACTGCTTCTTCTTAGAAAATATTAAACAGAAAATTGATAAAAGAGGTGTTGTCGGTGTGATATTTTTAGATTTTAAGAAGGCATTCGACACTGTCAGTCACCAGATACTCCTCTGCAAACTCTCAAACTATAATTTTTCCATTGGCGCGCTGAACTGGATGAAGTCCTGTCTTGCAGATAGAGTCCAATGTGTAAGGGTTGGAGGTGAGACATCACCCTTTCTGAGCAATGAAGTGGGTGTGCCCCAGGGATCCATCTTGGGACCTCTCCTGTTTAATTTATTTATAAATGATCTTCCATCCATCTGCACAGGGTGCGCAGTTCAGATGTACGCAGATGATACCGTTATTTATGCTCATGCAAAAACTAAAGAACTGGCAGCTGCCAAATTGAATGCTGTAATGGTGAAGGTCAACAACTGGCTCAGTGAGTCTCAAATGTTTCTTAATGTTAAGAAAACAGTTTGTATGTATTTTACAAAAGCAAGCTCAACATCGGATATCAATCCTGAAATGTGTGTCACTGGAGAACTGATCAAAGTAGTCACTGAGTTTAAATGTCTTGGTGTCGTCCTTGACCCTACTTTGTCTTTCAAAAAACAAGTAAAAAGAGTAATGCAGACTGCCAAATATAATTTGGCTAATTTTAGATACATGAGGAACTGTCTAACATCCACTGCTGCGCTTCTTTATATGAATGCAATGATCATTTCTCATCTAACATACAGTATGACAAGCTGGACCCATGCAAAAAGTGCAATGCTGAAACCCATTCTCTCTCTGTACAAGCAAAATACTCACCATCATTGTCACATTCTCAGCAAATATAACATCCTCAGCTGGTGTAGTGTAATGTACCTGTTTAGTCTTATGCTTTAGTATCAGTTGACCTTTAAAAATACATGTCCAGGCAGTATACTCTGCTCGATCATAACCAGTCACACCTTGGTTTATTGTTTCATGTATCCACATAATGTGCACACACACACACTCATTGGTGTATTGTATTGGATGCAGGATCTGATAGGATCTGATGTTCAAGGACGAAAGTGGGAAGTACCTAGGATCTGATAGGATTTGATGTGCATGTGTGACACCATTACTGTATGTTTGATCTGATAGGATTTGATGTTCATGTATAACACCATCATGTTCGGGCTTATGTGGGAAGGATTAAAGAGAAGAGGTGGAGATTCGACAGAATCTTCGCCAGCATAAAAGAGAGCACACAGAAAGCAAAACTTCAGTCCTGCTCCGGAGCTTGACTCATTGAGTTGTATGTGTTGTTGCCTGCGAACACATTAAACTCAGTTGCACTCGATTCTACGTGTCTCCAGTGATTCCTTGACTGCTGAGTATTTGGTTTTAAAGATACTTATTTTGGACAAGAGCAAAAGTAGTCGAAAAGTTGAAGACGAGGTCGGGACCCACCAGGCCCAATTCCGGGCCCCAAATTCTGCTTCATGACTGGGAAAACCTAACAAAATACGCTGACGCCTGTCTGTTGTTTAAGATCCTAAATAGCATGGCTCCTCCATCTCTCAGTGCTTTTGTTAAACAAAAAACATCTGACAACAGGTCTACAAGATCTGCCCAGAGAGGGGACTGTATTGTACCTTTCAGGTCCAGCTCCTTCAGTCAATCTTGCTTTGCTGTTAGAGCCTCACAGCTTTGGAACACCTTACCAACTGAAATAAGATACTGTGCCACTTATCACACCTTCACAAAAAATCTAAAGTACTGGCTTTTAAAAAAACAAAGATGTGATCACTCCTAACTAGTTTAAGATGTATTTTACCATTGTTTATTAACTTGCTGCTAACCTGCTAAATGTCTCTGTCCATTGTCAGGCCCCCAGTTTTGCATGGCTTGGTATGTAGTAACACCCAATAGTCTGATTAATACCTAGATTGTATTTTATTTTGCTCAAGTTCTGATGCTCTGCATGGCTGCTATATTGCTTGATTACCATTGGACTGTATGTTGCTGCTCTGTGCTTCTTGCATGTTTATCATTATTCTGCTGCTCTGCCTGTCTATCGCTGCTTTGCATACATGACTATATGGCTTGACTTCTATTAGACTGCATGCTGCTGTTTTATGCTTTTTGCATGGCTATTATGTACTATTATGTTGTCCTGTTCTGTTGTAAATACTGTATCTTACATTTAATGCTTCTGTTTTAGGTTATGGTTTCATAACATCTTGCTGGAGGAATACAGTTGCGAATTAGCCAGCTGGTTAAAACTGGCACATTTACAGTAATGTTGATTAATGTGTACTGTCCTTTTTATAAATAAAATAAACTGAAACTGAAGTACTGTTACTTGTTCAGCCAGTCTTGTTGTTGTTAGACACAGGGTTGTCAAATTACAGTGAACTGTGAACTATTAACTACTACTACCTTCTTGTTCTCAAATTTAACTTTGCGAGGCGTCTGTCGTTTCTTGAGTTTCATCTATTGTTCCTTGTATGCTTCCATATCTGGCAATAAAAGGGTTAAATTACACTACCTGACTCCTCATTTCCCCATCTAGCCTTATGTTGCTTCCCTCACCCCTAGACCACCTTGGGTGACGTAACAAATGTAATGATGAGCACTGATAGCACTGCTTTGAGCTCAAGTGCAAGGTATTTGAAAGTATAAAGTCACCCAGGTCAATGTCATTACACAAAAACTATGTAGAAAAGACAGCTGACTGACTGATAACATCTATAGTTTGGAGGACAGGCTTCTTATCAGTGTTGCTACACCAGATTAGCCAGGTCTCAACTAAAAAAAAATGAGTGCAAAATATTTTCGGTTATCAAATCATCAACCAGGAAAGATTTGTTAAGTCAATGATCAGACATTAAGAAGAGCTAATTTCAGCTGCAGGGACTCTGTGACAGGAGAGGAGACTGGTTATGGCTGGACAATGACAAATTTAAGATGACTGAAAGAGGTACCAGATGGCCTGTAAGTTCTATGATATGTCTGACCACCATACCACCGGCTGTTTAGGATCACCGGTATGCTCAAGGAAGCAGCATGGGATCTGGCTAGTTTCTGACAGACATCTGAGTACTGATGTTTGTGTAATAGTTCATCCATTTCATTGTGCTTAATTGTGGCAGCTTTAAGTTTAACTCCTTCATTGGTGAATGTGGTGGCAGTGAGGCGGGGGGAGTTGGGCTCCTGGTGAGTGTGGTGAAGGTGGGGTAGTTAGATGCTGCTACTACCGCTCTCACTGGGAGTCTAAGTAGCGCAATCAGCCATCTGGTGTCTCTGATGCTCTCTGGAAAGGTTTTGTTGTTTAATATATTTATTACTTCATTGCTATGAATATCAAATATATATTTACATTTTAGCTCCCCATACTTAAACTTATTATTAATTGTATTAAAATTCCAATAAATATTCAAATGGGGTTCAAGCCAGCATTGACATTTAAAACTTGAAAGCTGGGTGAGATCGAGCTCTTTGACAGTTCAAGGACACCTGCGTTAAAGATAAACAACAGGTTTTATGACAATGCTCATGCTCATTCATTCATGTCCAAACCTCTACTGGGCCACGCTCTTCAATGGAAACTCTGTTGCTTCCTATTGGTCAACTGCAGAAACATTTTAGGGACATGCTTTAATGGTTTAGTTAAAACATAGTCCACTGAATTTAGTGATGTTTGAACAAACTCTCATTGATTTATGACCAAATTCTGAGAAAGGTGATTGCACTTGTTTGGAACAGTTGGTGCCCTCTAGACCTCTTTTAAAACATGGCTCATAATTATTATTCTGCAAGTTGAAATCATGAGTTATCTTAGATGTTTGTTTTTTTTTTGTAGAGGTCGACCGATCAATCGGCCAACACACACATATATGTGTGTGTGTGTGTGTGTGTGTGTGTGAGCCTACCCAGTAAAGAAGTTTAAAGATATCTTATATCCTTAATAATCCTGACTTTATAATTCACAGTTTCCATCCTACTTTTGTCAGCTGTGCTCTCCTCACCTGTCATTGTGAAGATCCCCACCACCAGGCTAATGCTGCGGTTGCCCAGCAGAGTCATCTCCATTCCAGGGGCTCCACTTTTCCTCTTTTCCCTTTTGGATTTGAAAGAAGCCCAGATGCCAGTCCCAAGTACCAGCAGGTAGAAAAACACCATTGCTATTACTCCTGGGATGTTAACAGCCATGCTGAATGTCTGCTCTTCTAGCTGGTGTCAGACTGACTGAATGTAGTTTTATAACTAGGTTCAGGAACAAAGACCACGCCTAAAACACATCCCATTTCCGCCCAACAGTAAAAACACACCTGATGCAATCTCTTTCCCTTCGACTAGTGATGGTGAAATCGAAGCTTAATGAAGCAATGAACCACTTTGACACACCTGCTTCAAGAATGACACACTGCTTCGAAGCATTTCATACAGTCAGAAGAGTGACATCTGCTGGCTGTGTGTCAGAACTTCATCTAAGTGGAAGACCTGGAAAAGCCTCAAGACTGCCTGTAAGAGGCCTCGCTCCCGGTAGTCACGTGATTGTGGGCGTGCCGAAGCAGGGATCGAAACACTGCCTCGGAACACTTGCGCTTCAAAAGATCGACACTGTGTCGAGCAAACTGGCTCGAGCATAACATCACTACCTTCAACACATTTCTCACATCGACTGACGTGTACTTCACGTGTAACCACAGGCTTACCTCAATCTAAAAGTAAGACAAACTCTAGTTTTTATTGTATCAATTAATCAACTTACCACAGATCCAGAGCTGCAGAACAATCCTTCTGATCCAGACAAAATCCACCCGAAGGTGATTATCCTCGAGTCATATCATTCCTGCAGCAGTCGGATTACAGACAAACTTCCAGGCAGAGCCGCAAGCGTTCTGCGGCTCCCATACCTCAGCCTCACCAGCTCCTCCATTCCACCTGCCTCCAACACCCATCGCCGCGCAGTCATGGCACAGCCTTCTCCACGCAACAGCATTCTCCACATCACAATCTAAACCGGACATCACAGTCTCCAACGCGTCCTGAAAAGAAAAGGAATTCCCTCCAGCTGCAGCCACACAGCTGGGTTCCAACGCCGCCTCATTAAACGCCAAGTCTACCTAACTGCCGGCATCTGGGAGCCCTCGCAGAGACATTCCACGCTGGGATCGTTGCCCATGACATCACAGACTCCCACCCCTCAAGGACAGCAGCCAGTACCATTAGCTCCCACTAGCAGGGAGCCAGGTTGTATGGTTTCAAGTTTTAAGTTACTCATTGTCATATGCAATTAGAGGAAACAATTGTTTGTTTGTTTGGCAAATGGTCATCTTAAATCTCAGGTTCCCTCTGTCTATGCTCATTAAATACGCATTAAGGGAAATCTTTCAAGTAGCCATTGCTCATTTAATTCGTACAAAGGGAAACCACACAAGTAAAACAAACTAACAAACTATAACCCTATGTGTTTGTCCTTTCTCAGATCATTTCGTCATTCTTGTCATCTCTGCATTCGAAGGCTTCATCATATCGTCACAGCCGTTTAATCAGATCCACAACCGGAAAACCTTCCATCAGCTTCACAGAAAGCTATCGTAATGGTCTTGTCCAAAGCACACCCTTAGCCCACCTTACTAGCCAGCGTCAGCCACCCTTTTCCTCTTAAGACGTCACGTTCATTCAGTTTTACCACGCATTGTATCCATAAAATGATAATAATAATGATTATAATTATGATAATAACAATAATGATAATACTATTAAAAAAAAAATTACCTTGTCCACCCACAACTAGGCTACCTATTCAAACCAGCTTTCCATTAATCTAGCCACCAGCAGTTGCGAACCGCTAAATACATTCTCATGTTAACCAGTACTTGCAAAAGGTTTCTGCTTTTACGACAAACGCTTGCCACCAACTTCCGACCTTCTTAGCCCTGCATCCATCCTCTTCAGGCCACTACATACTTCATACTTTTGACTCTCTCTCGTTTTCACTCTCGGAAGTAAATCAGCGCAGCCTCCGTGGCTTGTCACTTCCTGCAGTGCCCTGAATCGCCCCAATGCATCTTTGACCCTCCACTTCATCCCACTTTTCAAACGCAACTTCATATTTCCAACTCTCTCTCGTTTTCACTCCTGAGAAGTAAATCAACGCAGCCTCCACCGCTGGCCACCACATTCGCTGCCACGTTGGCAACAGTTGTAACTATTTCCTCCTCCCAGACCCTTGTATATCCGTCCCAGACAAGTATTAATGGACAACCTCCTGCCCCATGTTTATCCCCTTCTCTCATTCGTTTATCCTCCCTCAACATTTTGTAATAAATAAACTCAGCCACCCCCAGCCCTTCGTCCACAACCCGCGAAGCGTACCCTGTCTCTACAGCAGCCATCCTTTTGGGGGCACGATCACATTCGCTTAACATGCTATTGTTATGCCCAGCTCGTTTAAGAGCACAACAAAAGAGGGAGAACCACACAGCAACCAGTTAGATTAACCAAAAATTTATTTAAAGAATAAGATTTAAGTGCAGATCAGTAATCAGTGGTGTGGTGAGAGGTGTTGGATGTATGAGGTGTATGTGTGTAATCATAAGGAACCAAAAGAGCCAACATAACACAACCCAAACCAAACTAAACAATGCTGGGGTTGCCTGGAGGCCCCAGCCATCCAGGAAGGAGAGAGAGAGAGCCATCTTGGAATGGCCATGCCTTTATAGACAAGGCCACAGGTGAGGTGAATCCCCTGACGAGATGGGTGAAATGACGAAATGCTTTTTGAGCATCTTGAACAATGAGCAAGACTTCAAAAAGATAGTCTTTTCATAAAACTGCCTATGCAGCGGGCCTTAGTCGGAGTCTGAACATGTTTTAGAGGTGATAACGCAGATTTGGTGATGGATTCGATGTGTGCTTGGAATGAGATCATTGAGTCTAAAATGACATCCAGGTATCTATCTATCTATCTATCTATCTATCTATCTATCTATCTAATCTTATCTAATCATTAGAGATATTAAATCGTTACGTTAAGAAATGTTCTCAATTTAATGACTGACAGGATCTTTTGATTTTTTTTCATCACACTGGTGGTGTGATTTTGGTGTGGTGTGTAATTTTTGAGAAACTAACTGAATGCTGAATTATTATGTGAGATTCTAAGTCATTATTTTGAGAAAGATTCTAATTATTTTGTAATACTACCTCATTATTTCAAGGACGTTTGTCATTATGATCTCTCCCCCCCCCATCACATTTGTGGAAATGTGCTTCAATATCTCTGTTAATGTTTTGCATATGATAATAAATAACTTGAACTTGCATGTCCAGCCTGTTTAATCACTTTGTGTTATGAAAAGAGCTATATAAATGCAATGCATTATTATCATGATGATTATTTTCATTTAGCTTGAAGAAAGGGGAATTTTTATGGAGGGGGAATTCAGAATCATTTACAATATTATCCTGCAATTTTTATGTTATTTAATTTTATTTAGTTAATCAGATCAAAATCTGTGGGACACAGTGCTCTAAGATTACGTTATTCTCACCACAAAGGGTACAGGGGTCGACCTTGAATTTAAACCTTTTCTTAACAAACATAGCTTTTGGATAAATCTTATGAATTACCTTAGAACTAGTCCATAGCCATTGGTAGCTTTGTCACCTTCTGCCTATGCCAATCCTCAATGCCTGTGTGCAGTTTCACATAGATTGACCACGTCAGTGAGTAGAAAAACGTGGGACAGACAGAATGACTGACAGACAGAATGACACATTGACAGTTTCTGTGATTATGTACAGCATACCATACCATGACTTAGTCATACCAAAAAAAAAAACAAAACAAAAAAAACCAACATTGGGCCACAGGGGGAGCCACAGCGATTGGTCACATTTTAGCCATTTTTAAGCATTTTTCTGTTGTTATAGCGCCACCCAGTTGCCAATTAGAGTTACATTTCTCCAGTCACCTTGAGGTGTCCTGTTCTACATATCTACCAAGTTTAGTAAAAATCGATATGGCGGTTAGGCCTAGATAAGAAAATAGATCTAAAGCACCCCCATTTTGTATGATAGGGTCAATAATGGAGAAGTCCCCTCAGATTATATGTGGTCATATGCCTACAAAGTTGTGTGGTGATGGGTGAAACCCTTGAGATGTTATACACCTTTATGTGATGAGTCACGCCCTCCGCAATATTCATTGCCTTATAGAAGCTCAGTTTTAGTTTTCCAACTTTTGCCAAGAGGGAACTTTACATATTGGTCCCTAGATTATGTTCACCGAGTTTCATGCAGATTGGTCAAACTTCCTGGGAAGAGATCGATTTCAATCGGTTGCTATAGCGCCCCCCTTTGGCCAATTGATGTAATATTGCTTCATTCGCATGCTCCCAGGACCCTCTACCACTGTGCCAAATTTCACATGGATTGACCAAGTCATTGAGGAGAAAAACGTGGAACAGGGACACAGACACACCCACACACAGAGTTTTCGTCATTATATAGTAAGAAAAGATGAGTTTGGGAAAGGAGGCCACTTGATAAATTTAGAATATGCTTTATCCATAAAAGATAAGGTTATTGCCTCCGGGACCTGTGTATGTAACTGTCTTTAATAATCATTTAAACACCCTGCGTTGAAGACAGTACTTTTAAACTTCTTACTAATCAGCTGAATCAACGGTAGAGGAATCGCTTTACATATCTTGACAGCAAAGTTTTGAATAAATAAATTCCTACCGTGCCTGGACGTTAACAGTGTACATAAACACGCCATTGCCATTGGATTCCTATATGAGATTCACTGATTTCCAAACACAAATCAAACAAGTGAACGCAACATAGATATGACGCATGCGCAGTCTGTGCTTGAATCCGATTGGTCCGTTTCAAACTCAGACCGCGGCTGTGTTGTTGTGTTTAGCTAGCACACAAAAGAATATTATCCTGTCTCAGTACCTAATGTCAGACATATAGCTGTCAGGTAAGTGTTTTGTTGAGTAATATGCAAGTCGTGGTGTCAGCGTTTAGTTCGTTTCAGAAAAGTAAACGGACATTTTAAACTGTGTGACAGTTATCAGTTGACAGGTGCGGCTGCTAGTCGGCTGAAAAATCCAGCTAACCAGCTAGCTTGTTTGTTAGCTCGACCAAGAAACGTTGGTGAAAGTCATTTGAAGAGATTGAAACTTTTGTAACGAATGTATTAAACTGAGTTACATATTAGCTGACACGGATAAAGCTAACAAAGCTAAGCAGCATTTGGCTTGAACTCATTAGTACCGCCTACATAACCCTGAGACATTTTATTTCAAAGTGTTAACATTGACTTAAAGTTAACGTTACGTTATTTTCAGTTGAATCACTGCGATATGCGGACCAACTGTTGGTTAACCGAGCTGATTTTTGTACGATGAATTCACGATAAGCCCTAGCGATGTGTACATGTGTAGATAATCAGGGCAGTGTGCACCGTTTTTGAAGGGCTTGACGTCACTTAACATAACGTTACTGTCCATAGGAAGCCAAACCCACCGCGAGATGCTAGCTAAGTTCCCTCCCATTATTTTGGCTTTGGTGCAAAGTTTGTCCAAGTGAGAATATTTGACCTTTTGCCTTTTTTTTAGCTCACTGTCTTGTCCTGATTCAATTGTTGCAGGATGATGGAATCATGCCTGAGCAACAAGGCTGACAGACGGGAACAGATAGAGGTGGATGACTTGAAGAGAGATCTCTCATCAGAATTCAGCACCTTACCAGACCCACAGGTAAACCCGGCAGTAACAGGGAAATCAATCACTATGAATACCTTTGCCCACAATCATTATATTGGTGCTGTTGTGCTCACAAATTCACATACCCTGGCAGAATTTGTGAAAACCATAATATGACTGATAATACAGCCCACTTACAGTACGCCAGACAGCACCTAGACAGCCCTCAAAACATATGGAGCAAAGTCATTTAGAGTGATGAAACCAAAACTGAACTTTAACATCATGTTTAGGGAGGGGTTTTAACAGGGCTAGGATGAAAGTACACCATCCCTACTGTGAAGTATTGACCTACAGTGGGGCTTTAGTCAAAATTAATGCCGGAATGAAAACAGCACGTAAGTGTGGAAGCTGCACATGGGACACACTTGGACCTTCAAACATGTCAACCCAAAACACAAGGCCAAGTCGACCCGCAGTGGCTACAGCAGCACAACAGCTTTACCACCTGAGAAAATAAAGAGCGTTTTCCACATCTATTACAAAGGACTGCAAGCTGTTATTGATGCTAAAAGGGTTAATAAACACTCTTAAGAACTATGGGTATGCAAACTTTTGATCTCAGTATTTTCTCAGTATATTGTTATGTTTTGTTTAGTGATTGTACTATTCTGTGATGCCTTAAAGTTTAATTTGAATCCCACTGGATATAAAAGAAATGTGTTTTGCCTGATCACCCCTGTTTACTTAAAAGAATAGTACACAGTACAAATTCTGCCAGGGTATGGAAACTTAGAAGCAAAACTGTGTCTCCATACAGTTGACAGTGGGCAGAATACACCTATAATTTGCTGAAATACTTAAATAAAGCAGTTATACAACAACATGTACACACCTGTTTCAACATTTATGCATGATGCATCTACAAACGGCTAAAGATCTTACCTGTGGAAATCAACTACTGAGTTCAAATGATGTAAGGAATAAAATACCTGTGCTCCAGTATTGCAAGCCTGTGATATTGGTGTCATATGAGCTATTATCAGACTTCATCAGTTGAGATGTTAACTTCAGATAAACTCTGAAATATATTTTTTCATAGAGTGAGGACTGTGGATTTTGTCCCCTAAACACTTGCAATAAAAATGCTTTATGAAGTGCTTTTTTAAATGTTCTATGCAAACAGGAGGAATTATTACAGCAAACAGAATGTGTTTCAGTGTTCATATGGGCACCTACTAAAATCTATTGTTTTATGGCAGACTTTGGAAAAGAAATGTACACCCATCAGTTTGAGGGCTTTGAGTTCAAATGTAGTCTGTCACTTTCCTCTTGCTGTTTTTGATTAAAACCTGATTTGTTGTGCAGCATTCCAGCAACGAGGAGAGGGAACACCTTCAGGTCTACCTCCGCATCCGACCTTTCAGCTCAGCAGAGAATGATAATGGAGAGTCACAGGTAAAATAAAGAAAAATAAGATACTTCATATGCAGGGAGTTGATATAAAATGAATAGCAGCCTGCTTGGTTTTGTTGTTGTCTCAACTTTGTTGACTTGCTGAATTTTCAAGACTCAAACGTGACTAAATTCCCTGATAACTTGATCGAAGCTGCTACAGATTATTTAAATGAATGTAAACCAAAACAGAATGATTCTGAAAGAGAGAGAAATCCTTTTATGTCTTCTGTCTGCCTCCCTGTATTTTGTTTCTAACAGGACTGTGTTACCATTGAGCCCCCTGACACGGTTCTGCTGAAGCCTCCCAGCTTGTCTCTCTCAGCGAGGCTTAGTACTGAAAAATCACTCCCACAGACTGGACAGCGCTTCCAGTTCTCTCAGGTTGGTGTTTCCTGGCAGATACGAAGGCCAGAAAAGTTTATTGATTTGCACTTTGTTAATACAGCATTCTATTTGAATATACCAATACTTGTATGTGAGGCATTTTATTCGACTTCCAGACCCTACTTTCCTAATATAAAAGATGGAGTGTTTTCATTGTTTTTTTTTTTAGAATAACTCCCCACTCATTCCCTTATTTTTAATAGGTGTATGGTCCTGAGACAACACAGAGAGAGCTTTTTCAAGGCACCGTAAAGGATTTGGTGAAAGATGTTCTCGAAGGGGGAAACTCTTTGGTTTTCACTTATGGAGTCACCAACGCGGGGAAGACCTTCACATTCTTGGGTCTGTTCTACTTTAATATACTTTTAATTAGCACTGCTATTTAAACTAAGTTAAATGGATTGCTACAGTGGTTATTCAGATCAGGTGCAGGGAAATTCTCCTCAGCAGTTCCCTGCATCTTTTTGACACCACATCCCATATGTCTGATCTTATGTCTGATCAGTATAAAATTGTCATTGATCTGATGGCCAATGTTTCTGTCTTGAGATTTAATGATGATGGAAGTACCTTCACTTGAAACAATCCAACAATGTGCTCTTGTCACTCCAGGTCCAGATGCTGATGCTGGTATGCTGCCCAGGTCTCTCGACGTCATTTTCAGCAGTATCGATGAACGCGTCTTCACTGGGATGAGCATCAAACCTCACCGCTGCAGAGAGTTCACAAGGCTCACCTGGGAGCAGCAGGCTGAGGAAGCGGTGTTCAAGAGAAGCTTCTTCAGACAAATTAAAGAGGTAACCCGTCTGTCTGAGGCTGCCGTGGAGGTTCAGACGAGCAATAGAAGTGGCAGCATGTTAGCATCGCAGCAGGTCCAGTCCTTGATTAGTGTCTACATGGGGGTTATTTAGGCATAGTACTGAGGTGTAGGTCACCTCTGTTTTTGCTGCACTCAGAACCCAATACACAGAGACTAAAGTTATTCCTATAAGATAGAATAAAATTGACTTGAAGCATAAAAATAAGCTTCAGATTGCAGCTGCACATGTATAGTGTGAGTGAAATGCGAGCCATTATACAGTCTGTGTCGACTGTTGTATTGATTAAAAAAAGAAGTGAATCTATTCTGTCAGATGTGTTTGAGATTGACGACTGAAAAAATGCAGCCAAAAGACACTTGCTGGGGCTTGAAACAAATGTGGCTGCTAGAGGAAACGGCAGAGACAGATTAGATGACAAAGTGAAATTCATAGATTACTGTGACTATTGAAAGGGAACATGTTTTTTTTTTTTATTTTTTTTTGAGGAGTAAAAATTGAGGATTTTGATTACACTGATTACCTGCACACTTTTGTTGTGTTATTACAGATACCTGTTGATACCCCTAAAAAACTACCATGCACCAGCTATTATTGATGCCATTGCCTTCTTTGTTCTGATTATTTCTCTCTTCAGTTCTCTTCTGTTGCTTTCTCCATCCTCTGAGCCAATTTATTTTTGGTCAAAAGACTTCGAACAGTTCAAAATTAGGTGGAACCAGTTCAATGTTGATGGAAAAGGGGTAAAATGCAGCCCCCCTCAATTTTGATGATGAAGGTTTCGGAGTTTGAGAGTCCTAAAAGATCAGGGGCAGTATTCACAAACATTCTGAGAGCACTCTCAGTGAGCTCCTAACTTAGCCTAAAAACTTTTAGTTAAGAGTCTTAGCTTAGGAGTGACTTAGGAGAGTTCTATGGGGGTGATCACACAGAAATGAGACGCTAGAAACGTGGACGCTTCAAAGACACTTGAAACGCTGGAAGTGCTTATTCAATGTGCACTAGCTACTGTCGTCTGATGCTCAAAAAGTTGAAAATATTTTAACTTTTCAGCATCTGGACGCGCGTCTAAAAAGAAGCGTCTACAAAAACACACGTCTAAAAAGACGCCGGAAAAACGCACGTCTAAAAAGACGCTTGAACGCCGGTCAGATGCGCCGTATCATAGGAAAACAGTGGTTTTACTGGTGTCGCATTTTCTAGCGTTTCATCTCGGTGTGATCGCTCCGTAAGAGCAACTCTGAGGAAGGAAGGGACAGAAACTTTTATCTTACTGAGGGGGTGTGGATGAGCCTGTTGCTAGGTGTGATGCTTTCTTTTAACAAATGTGATTGGTTGTCACAGACACGCTCTTTTGTGGTCCTTCAAGGTATGGACAGTGACACCCAGTGGAAATGAAATGAACTGCATCATAATATGAGCTTGACAGTGTTGTCAGTGAGCATGTTGTTCAGATAACTGGGAATAATCTGGTAATGGTAATAATCCGATTTGACGCGTTTATATGCACTTCAATAATCTGATAATCAGAAAAACCTGGTTTACATGATTCAGTCTTTCAGTTGGATTTCTTCTCAAGTACATGACATAAAACTCAAACTTCCTGTTACAGTAGGTACTCATATCCTTGAAAAACCTAGAAAAGTACACAAGTCATATATTTGCAAAATAAAGCACTCATCATACTGACAGCTTATATTCTTACAGTACTGTTTGTTTTTATCATTAACAAATACATGTGAGAGCATTCTAATGTGTAGTTTATCAATGTGGAGCCAATTTTACATACTTTGGGTAGATTCGGAGTAAAAGTACTGCAAAGTGCAATATACAAGTGTATTGTATAAAAACTTGTCACACAAAGTGCATAACATAAGTAAGATAAAATAAAAGTGACAATTTAAACACTGAGAATATAAAAATATATTATTTTATGTAAAATCTTTATCTGAAAGGAAACAAAAGCTGTCAGATTAACGTAGTGGAGTAGAAAGTACAATATTTCCCTCTAAAATGTAGTAGAGTGGGAGTATAAAATAGCAAAACCCAAAAGAAACCAGATTAAAGGGTATACATGCACCGAATAATCTGACTATTGGGGAAAAAGCTAGGTGTGTTTATCTGATTTCTCATAATCAGATAATGGCTTTTATCTGATAAAGCCTATCGGATTATGCTGTTTACATGACCACTTGAATAATCAGGTAACTCCAGAAATCAGATAATGATCGGTTTATTAGTGTGCATGTAAACGTGCTCAGTGTTAGTGTGATCACTCTGCTGATGGAAGGTTTAACACAGACCAAAGTCATCACTGCTGCACTGATACATTTTTACAGTTTTTCAAATATCTTAGTGTTGTGATTGTTTTATTTCTGGCGTCATAGCGTTATTTTGTTAGGTGGGAAATGTGTGCATATCCCAAATGAGATCGACCTCAAACATTATTTCTGCACAATGTCATCTGTAGCATTTCATTTACTCACTGTCATTTTTTGTCTAGAGACCGTTTCTACGACCTCTTCATCTTTTCACCATTTTCTCCTCTGATAAAGAAACTCTTAAACCACTTAAAAGTCCTCCTCCCTGCTCCTAACAGTTTTTCACCTTAGGAGCTCTCTTAAGGTCTAAGATGCTTTGTGAATAAATTTTATCTTTACAAGGACCTAGTCTTAACCTTAAAGGGAAATTTTAAGAAAACGTCACAATTCTAAGAATTTTCTTAGACTTTTGTTACTAGGAGCATCTCTTAGCACTAGGACGCCTCGTGAATACCGCCCCAGGTACATACTCATACTACATACCAGTATATCTCTTGCCACTACCAAGCGTGTATGTTTTTGGTCATCCTTTTCTTAAGGCAAATTCAATAGGGATGCACCAAATATTCGGTAACCAACTATATTCGGCCGAATATTGCAAAAAACCACACATTCGGTATTTGGTGGAATAAGTTAAAAGCAAGGTCAAATAATAGCGGCGTGTTTTGATAACGCAATCAAACAGAGTGCCGTGACGGGCTGAGTAAAATGTCGGCAGTGTGGCGATCTGCCCGTCACGGCACTCGCATTTGCGACTAAAAATAGTTTTGAGTGAGCAAAATAGGCTTAAATCATTCAGCACGCTGTGCGAGCAGCCTACAGATTTCAACCAGCAGCAGAAACGAAAGGTGAATCCCAACGGTTGTGGGTTGAGCGGGGGTCACAGACACAGACAGTAATGTATTCCTGTCAAATACGGCGGCCATCGTCTTACCGGCGACGGGAAGTCGGCTCCAATAATATCCTCTTCTTGGCGTCATGACTGCCCAAAAGTACCTGAACAGCCGAGCCAGCCGAACACAGACCGTACGCGATGTGTCAGAGGAGAAACGAGCCGTTCACGGCCCACAAACCTCACCGCACTTTAGGGACTGTTCTTTACTTATGGAGGGACTTGTCAGGGGAGGAGGGTGGCTGGTTGATTCTTATTTTATTTATTTATTTTATTTTTATCCCCCCTATGTTCATCACTCATTGATGCTGTTTTTGAAGTATGAATAAGTCAATAAGTAATTTATTCCATTGAAATATCAATGATGTATTATAGAAAAGTGATTTATCTTTTTATAAATGACAAAAGGCACATCTGCCTCATTTTTGCTGTGGTATCGTGATACTACTCAGAACCATGATATTTTCACTGGTATCGTACAGTGGGATCCAATTTTGGTACCGTGACAACACTAATCTGGAGGGGGTTCATCTGCAAAAACTAATGAAAAACTAAACAACAATATTCAGTATTCACTCGGCATTCGGCCAAGCGTTTAATATTATTCGGCTTCGGCTTCGGCCACAAGTTTTCATTTCGGTGCATCCCTAAAATTTAGTGGACCTCACTCCCCCCCGTACATAATGCCTTTAAAAATGCAGCTTTTGTAGATTGGTATAGAAATGTTTGTTGTTAATGTATATTATTTGTTTGTTTGTTTTGCTACACAAATAAACATGTAAATAACTCTGAAGAATGTAAGTGTCGTTGGTGCATTTTTAACATTTTCATCTCCTCCCTTTGTCTTTCAGAGCGAGAAGAGCAATACCAGCCTTTTGAACTCAACCAATAAGACTCTCCTTGAAGGCAAGATTCAGACTTATCTTTTAATCTATTATTTGTTGTGTTTCTGCCTTTCAGCTCGGCAGCATTCGTAAATCTGCCACTGAAACCACCTGTGCACTGTGATAATGTTGCACTACTGGTAATTGTGATTGACAGCACTGTCAGCCCTTGTTTTTATTTCCAGATCTTTCTGTTTAACCCTGGGGCAGTAATGCTTAAAATTCTCACTGTGTTTTGTTGTACATTAAAGTGAAGCACAAGATGACTGCTGTCCCCGCAAGCACTACTGCAGAGTGTGTTATTACAGGGCGATGATTTCTAATGTTTGTGGTTTGCAGGATCCTCCATGCTGGGAATGACTGTAGCAGCAGAGGACAAAATCAGCCTGGCAGTGGAAACACACACCAAGTTCTCTGTTTGGGTTTCTTTCTGTGAAATCTATAATGAGAACATTCATGACCTCCTGGAGGTGGTACCCAGCGGGGCCCCAAAGAGGACCGCACTGCGCCTGTCACAAGATGTCAAGGGCAACGCTTTTGTCAAAGGTTGGAGGGGTCAGGGAGGGCAGACGTAAACTATAACACTTGAAACAAGTCTGAAGCTGTTTTTATATTTAAAAAATGCCGAAGTTTTAAACAAATATTGAACGGTGACAAAATAAAATGCTCATCAATAGAAGCTGGAATAAGTGCTGCAGTTTCTTCTCATGCCGCGTCTTTAACTGCCTGGAAAACATGAGGTCAAGCGCTGGGCATGACCCTTGTGCCTACTTTGTGGCAACTTTGAAGGGCATGGAGGCAGGTTGTGTTGGAGGTTGCTAAGCGACCATAGCCAACACTGTATCATAGCCTACTTACTATAAATCCTGAGTGCAGAGCTGATCTTCCAAGTGCTGTTTTCTCAGTGTGTCTTGGGCCACAAAATACTGACAGATGTAAAGCTCTGGGTAGCACTGCTCTAAAGTGATCAGCCTCTTCTTTGTATTTACCACAGACTGATACTTATGGAAGAAGGGGAAAATATTTGCCGGCTGTGATTGGTTGTCATCACATGATATGCGGTGCGCGCTACTGCTTGTTCAGCAAGACAAATTGACAAATTAACACCACTTTTCTGATCTTTGAAGCGTAAATGCAATCACCAGAAGTAAAAAGCTAACATTAGGCTATAAACAAACTACACCACGGTTGCATAACTTCAATGTCGCCACCACACCGAGGCTGTAAAACCTTGTTGGAGGTGATGATGTTTTGTCGTCTCATTTAGCCACATATCAGCAACTTTTTTAAGACACATCAAAACTTCAGAATTCAGGGGTGGGGTATTTACTGACCAACCAACTGACTTTGAGACGAGGGAACTGTGAGTGCTGAAATACTGATTAATTTCTGCGTTTTAGGACTCATTTTTCCACCGCTCTATGAGCAGCCATGTTACTCAACATATTGGGGCAAATATTCAAACTACTGATCTGACAGTTTTATGGAGTTCTTTAATTCTTACCATTGTGTAAAGAAGCTTCCAAAGAAGTGACATAAGAAGAAAGTCAGTTTGATATGAATAACCTGTTTTTGTACATTTGTATTCAGATCTGCGTTGGGTTCAGGTAAATAATGCAGAAGAGGCGTACAAGGTGATGAAGCTGGGCAGGAAGAACCAGAGTTTCTCTTCCACCCGACTCAACCAGCTCTCCAGCAGGAGGTGAGGATGACAGCCAGCAGCATTTACACATATTCAGCTTCAAGTTTTTTTTGTCACGCAGCAGCAGTGCAAAAGTCAAATAAGCATTGCTTCCTACCTTAGTCTGCAGCAGTAAGAAACTATTGGTATGTTTTGTGTCAAAATATTGTACCTCAACAATATTCTACTTGCATGGACCTCATGCAAGAACGTGTTTTTATCATCCGAACTCTCATACTTTTTCCTCAAAGTTTACTTGTGCAATTTTTCCAAGTCAGTTTCAACAAACTCTCATAACTGCACAAATGTGTCATAAATTTCTCGTATGAGGATAATGAGTGCCACCTGTTCATGAGCAGGAGTGCAGTCATTAAACATGATCATTTGCATATTCATTTTATGAATGTTTTTGTGCCTGTTTGTTCTGATAACTTCTCTTTCCAGAGTCTTTTTGCTCTGTCTTTATTCAAAGTTACTGAAACATTTGTTTGTTTGTTTTCTGCAGTCACAGCATGTTCTCCATCCGCATATTGAGGGTTGAAGATATTGGGACTCCGAGGGTCCATGCAGTCAGCGAGTGAGTGAAACTTTCTATTTTACTGGCATATGTAAACATGGTTTTAGGTGTGTAACTGTGTGGCTGTGAGTGAGGTACTATGGACAAAGTGCACAAAATAAAATCTTGTGGGAGCTGAATATGAATGTGAACATACAGCGTCTGGTTTTTGAGTGAACGTTATCATGTCCTTTAAATGTGTTTGTCATCAGGTTGTGTCTGTGTGACCTGGCTGGCTCGGAGCGATGCGCCAAGACCCAAAATAAAGGAGAGCGTCTGAAAGAGGCCGGAAACATCAACACCTCACTGCTCATCCTGGGAAAATGCATCAATGCACTACGACACAATCAGCAGGCCAAGTGAGATCATTTCCTGTCTGTCATATGTCTTCAGTTGAGTTTGAATCAGAAGACTTTATGTATTTTAAGAGAGTGCAGAAAGTCAACCCTGAACTTTGAAACTGTTTGGAGCTTTTTAACAACTGACAGCTGTGGACAAAAGTTGATATCTAGCAGCTTAATAGATGTTTTTCTGTGTGAATGTTTGACTTACCTTCACCAAGTGGACACAAACCCAACTTTAATAAAATGATTAAGTTTCACAGTGTCTGCTGGATGTATAAATAGGAAGCCATTTGCTTTAAGAGCTTAATAAGCTGGTGATATGTGGTGGCTTATTGCTGTTCCTCCTCTACCCCCTAGTGGCCAAAACGCTTTTAGAAAAATCTGCAAAAGTCCTCAGTTCAGTATCATGATTGTAGCAGCACAAACAGTTGAGAATGCACATATATCAATGACAACTAAGCTGTCGTCTTCTTCAGGCTGCTTAAGCACGTTCCCTTCAGGGAGAGCAAGCTGACCCACTACCTGCAGGGCTTCTTCTGTGGACGAGGAAAAGCCTGCATGATCGTCAACATCAACCAGTGTGCCTCCATGTATGACGAGACTCTCAACGTCCTCAAGTTCTCTGCTGTGGCACAGAAGGTGCAAGCACATTTACATTTTCTCTCTTATTGTGCTTTGCTTTCGGAGATTGTTCTCTGTTTTTTAATTCAGAAAATCGCATCCATAGATTGGACAGTTAAAGTCATCTGTCTTTATTTTCTGGAAGATGCAATAAGACCAAAAACAGTAAATTTGTCCATATGTCATAATTATCTGTCTGTCCTCACTCATCACCTTTTAGATAAAGGAACTGACCAAAATTCATAAATGCTCTAACATATTAAAACATCATGACACTGCAGTATTAATAGTTATGATATTAATTTGCTTGTTCTTTTGCTCTTGTCTGTTTCCAGGTTGTGGTCCTGTCCACCAGGCCCCCTCACATCATGCCCCAGAGGTCCGCCAGTGAAGTATCCTTCATCATCAACAACGCTGAGAGGAAGACTCTGAGGAGCAGCAGGAGGAGCTCCCTGATTGGCTGGGATAGTAGCCTGGAGGACGTACAGGTAGGGAAGAGGCAGTGGCACATCAGGAAGCTCATGCCTTTTCTATGTCACTTAACTGCTGCAGTTTAAATCTTACTTTACTTGGCTTGAATTATCACAAGAAACAATTTTACAACATTATGTTAAATCTTTTGTCCAGGAGGATGAAGATGATGAGTATGAGGACGGAAGGAGCCTAATGGAGGACACAATGGATCAGACAGACAATGATGGAGACGGCAAGGAAAATGATGAAAAAATTCTTGTCAGTAAAAGGTCGCACCAGGTCAGTCCCTTATTTTAATTTTATGAAGTGCTTTTGGCAAAAAAAAGTTGTAACTAATTGCTCAACATATCATTACAAGAAATACATAGATATTTAAAACTACTGCTAGGCACAGACATGGCCACAGCAAAGAAGCATGAAGTTGACAATGCGGGTTGCTGCTTTCAGGCCTCCAGGCATTTTCACATTATCTTATCTGCCCCCCTTAAAAAATGTCTTGACACCCCAGTCTAACTGCTCTCAATGGTCAGTCACACAGTGTAGATGTGGTGTTGAATTTCATGTATTAAATTTCTCTCAGAGTTTAAGTTCTGCTGGTGCTGCAGTTTCTGATGCCTATAGCTAGATAGGTAGAACCAGTTTAACATTTTATTTTTATCAAACAGGACGACAAAACTTAACATATTCAGTAGTCTTTCGTCAGTGTTTAACTCTTTGTTGTGTGTTGCCATTTTGCGTCCCGTTCCTCAGAGGCAGGCGGCGCTGTTGAAACAGCTGCAGGTACAGCTGAAGAGGGAGCGAGCGGAGAGCCTGCTCATGGAGGCTCGAGTCAGAGAGGAAATCAGCAGAGAGTTCTCAGAGCTCTTCTCTGAGATGCAGAATGACTACAAGTGAGACCTTTTATATATACATACAGTATATATACTGTGTACATATGATGTAGCCTGGAAAGTTTGGGGTGTGATATTTAAGTCATAGAAATGTGTGTGTGTGTTTGATTCAGTGACCGCCTGGCGAGGGAGAGAGAAATCTTGGAGGAGCGAGCAGAGAGGAGGCTGGAAATCTTCAAGAACCTCATTGACAAAATGGCCACCACTGGACCCAGTCAAGACTCCCAAGCCATGGTAACTGGGGTTGGGCCAGTGCAAGAATTTTCAAACCAGTTTGATATCAAGAGCCGCACCAGGCTGGACCGGTATACAGAATTTTACCACTTGATGTCGCACTTGACATAGTAGCCGCTTTTGAGTGGAACGTAACAATACTGTGTCCCAACAGGAAACGAGTGTCAGGGTGCTTTCACACGCCCTGTTTGGTTTGGTTCAGTCGAACTCAAGTTCATACATGCAAGTGTACTCTTCTTCAATGTTTTGTTTACTTCCTGGATTTTTCCCACATGGAAATTCTGACTAATCAAGGGCAGCTTTCTCACGCAGGCATTACTTGGTCCGCTTGTAAATGCTGCCATGAGAACATGAACCAACTCTAGGCAATTATACAACTTTGGAACAACATGAGTCCCTTATTCGGACCAAAGTAAGACAACTCTAGGTCTGAAAGCACCCTCAGACAATCACGTAGCAATGGAGCTCTCTGTCCACACAGTAGCCATTAATGCCCACTTAAAAGGTGGGTAAGTAGCCTGCTTGCTGTCTTCCTACGTTTGTAACATTACTTTAAAACAGAAAACACACATTATATAGTGTGATATTTACAGGAAATGACCTACAATATAGCCAACGCTCAGCTCCCTGCAGTCTGCTTCAAGTCAGCGGTCACCTTATGTTGGTTTTTGTAGTGAAATACAAAGGAATCGTACAAATAATAACTCATTACGACTTCATCAATCAGCTGTTCCTTATCCATTGTGACACCTTTAAAGTGAGCAATAAATAGAAACAGGGCATCTGGTAGAAGTGCAGCTCAAAACCTTTTATAAACAAACACAATATTATGTCAGTCACATTGTTGTAATACTTATGACTAATGTAATACAAGTTGGAATTAGCACTGTGAAACCATCTAAACAGGTTTAGGATGTAGGGAACTGGTTAATTTGTCAGAGCTTGTCAATATGACAAAAGCCAGTTCAGCCAGTTTAACCTGGTAGACCAGACCAGACTGGCAGAACTGGAAATCGACCCAGCCCTAATGTAGGCTGTGTCTGATACGTATCATATTGCATCTTAGTGACAAGATTCTTGTGCTACACTTCACACATCCAGCTCTCAGTAACAGAGCTGCCTCAATTATTGAGTCTGACCTGTCTTTGACCTGCCTCTGCCTACAGCTTGCATTTGAAATAATAATGATTCCTGTTGGAGCGACTTTATTCGCTATGAGAGCAAAGGGAATGGAAAGGTTTCTAACATTTCATACAAAGTCAGACAAGTTGTTTGATCTCTTTTTTAACATCCCATATTCATTTCCCAAGCAGAAAGGCGTATGTAGCTACTCAAGCATGCATGGGTTAAATACCTTGTTCCAGGATACTCTGACAGGTGTGGTTGAACAGCCTCAAGGCACCAAACCTGGATGTTCTGATTGTGGCGATGTGCTCACTCATCACCCCTAACTAGTTTCTCTGATGTTTCCAGGACACATCTCTGGACTCCTACCCCCCTGAATTGGCAGAAATAAAGAAGGCCGCTGAGGCTGCTCATAAATATCTGGGTTCAGGCCGAGCAGGGGCTCAGGGAAGCAGAGGAGACGCTGTGGAGGAGCTGGAGAGGAAGCTGCTAGAACTAAATGAGCACCAGCGGAAAATCCAGGAGCAGATGGTGCACAAACACAATGGTAAAAAGACATGTATAAGAACTGATCAGTGTCTTCATCTGTCAGACAGGCAGACTGTGCAAGAAAAAAACTGAGCAGTGTTTCTTTCACTCGTGTGGTGTCTAGAGGACTGATGCACAGATAAATGTAAATATTCCAGACATCCAACAGCATGACTTCATGGCCTCCATGGATATTTTGTTACACCCAGCACACATTTAAGGATCAGTTCACCCATTTCACAATTATGCTACAGCAAAAGCTCCACAGACAGCTGCTCACAGTGTGTTCTGTGGATTATTCAGTGTAAGGAAGGTGATTTCTGCAAAGAAATATGTACATTTGAAAAACTTCAGCAGCAGTGTTATTGAGCATCACCACTGAAATGATTTCCACAGCACAGATCCAAACCAACTGCAATGTGTGGGTTATCTTTATGTCAAGAAAAAAAAATCACAGACTGAAAGACAGCCTGTCACTGACAATAACAAAATATTTTATATAGAAATGTCATGTTTTATAATAGAATTGCAGAAAATATATCAACCTCCATATGAGTAATATAAGGTATCTATTTGATAGTGCAAAATGACTTCCAAAATTGACAGTTGGATACCAGCATGTCAGCTCTGGCCTACTTTTCACATACTGTTTTATGTCTGCATTTTTTGTGTTATTTTCCAGGTGAAACCAGCGGAGTAGAGGATGAGGAGAAAAGGAGGCTCCTCTTTCAGCTCCAGGAGAAGTCAGCAGAGATTGACCGGCTGCAGAAACAAGTGGGAGACCTGCAGAAGGTGGCAGAGCAGGGCTCACAGGGCCGCTCCTCGCTGGTCGAGGAGGGGGGTTCACAGCTGCAGGTAAGAACCCGGGGCAAAGGTGTACGAGGTGCTGAATCCCCTGTAGACTGAATCACTGTGGTGTCGTGCTACCAACAACAATCACTTCCAGGTAGAAAACTGGCAGTTGATTGCATTTGTCAAGATATGTAATATCAAAAATCATGTTGATTTCTGTTTTGATTTTCAGCTGTAACTGTATCGTTTAATTATATATAGTTAAACAAGTTAGTTTTATCTGGAGAAACATAAATTCAATTCCAAAACTTCCCCTCCTAATGGTTATGCAGCTCTGTTAATTCATGCTGCCGCAGGCTTGTGAAGTTGACCCATGAGCATCTCCGCTAAATCAGTCTGAGGTTGATGCCTCTTTCAGTGGTACCTCAACAGCAGAAAGGGAAAATGTTTCCATTTCACTTTGTCCACTCACATTTTTACCAGTTCATGGAGTTTAACCAATGACCTGTTCCCAAGCTTGTCTTTGTCACCCCCAGGCTGTCACTGGCCTACATAGAATTAGCGTGATGTTTGTTATGCCATGCATGTTATGTCCAGGGCTTACTCATACCTAGCTCACATAGGTTGCCATGTAAAGTTGGACTTAGTCATCGGGAATAAATCAAGTGATTTCTGGTTTCATCACGAAAACAAGAAATTATAAATGAATGAAATGCTTCTTACCAGCGGATTTATTTTTTCCCAGTTGGCCATTAAATAAAGGGCACTAGATGCTACGCAGTAAGTGTGAAATCTTAACACTGAGGTGTAATGTAGGGTGTATGATAGTTAAATTTAAAACACGCAAATCCGCCATTGCCATCCTTGTTAAGTTTATTCAAAATAAAGTAAAATTCAAAATAATCATTTCTCCTATCACCCAGGAGGTGCTGGCTGCCCTTGAAAAGGAGAAGAGAGGCAGAGAAGAGGCCCTCGCTGCTTTGGAGTACCAAACCATGGGAAGAGAGGAGGCCCTGGCCTCTTTAGAGGAGGAGAGGAAAGCAAGAGAGGAGGCCCTTGCTACACTCAGGGAGCTGAAGCGAGACAAAGCGGAGGCGCTGGCATCCCTTAAAGAAGAGAGAGGAGGCAGAGAGAAAGCCATGGCAGTCCTTGAAGCTGAGAGGAGAGCCAAAGAGGGTGCCATCGCAGCCCATTTAGAAGAGAAGCAAAGCAGAGATGACGTTGTTGCTGCTCTTGGTCAAGAGAGGAGTGACAGGGAGAAGGCTCAGTCTGTTCTGGAGGTTGAGAGGAAGGAGATCAGCAGGCTGGTTGAGGAGAGAGAAAAGATGCAACAGGAGGGTGATGCTCTACGACAAGACGTCAGAGAGCTGACTGCCAGACTGGAAGCTGCGGAGTGCCAGGTGGGCCACACTTTAACCTTTTGATCAAATCAACCTGTAAATGTGGCAGTATTGTGATTCTACTTGCCATGAAGTTGTTTAGCATGTGTCTTGGAATAATAATTAGTGTTTGATTGAATGGTCTTTGTGCTACATGACTAAATGAAACTAATATCTATTGAAATTACCACAGGTGACCAGCAAGACAGAGGGAGCTGAACAAGTGTTAGTCCAACTACAAACTGCTCAGGCACAACTGGATGAACACTCCAAGGACATCCAAGAGAAATCTTCCCAGATCCAGACCCTGACGCAGGAAGTTCATAACCTGAAACAGGAACTGCAGACGTCAGCAGCATCATCTGAGGGTGACAGTGATCAGCTGAGAGAGGAAGTGTCGAAGCTTCAGAAGAATCTGGCAGAGGAAAAGGACAAAAATGAGAGCAAGCAAAGACAAATTCTGGAGCTGGAGCAAGAGCTAGGACAGGCAAAAGAACAGCAGGCACACAAAGAGCAGATCTCCGACCAGCAGCTGACACAGTTAACAGAGAAGATGAATCAACAAGAAGCAGCTTCAAAAGAACAAGTTGAAGAGCTCAGAAAGCAGCTTCAGGAGCAAGAAGAGATGTCGCAGCAACCACTGGATGACCTCAGATCCAAACTCGAATGTCAAGAACATGCTTCCAAAGAAGAAGTAAAACAGCTGAGGACACAACTTGAGGAACAAACGCAGGCCGCGGAAAAGCAGGTAGAGGCGCTCAATGAGAAGCTGCGAGAACAAGAAGTGATGTCACAACAGCAGTTGGAGGAGCTGAAACACAAACTGAGTGAACAAGAAGCAGCCTTTGGCAAACATGTAGATGATCTCAAGCAAAAGCTAAGTGAGCAGGAGCAAACCGCAGAGCTGCTCAAGGCCCAGCTGAAAGAAGCAAATAGTTCCTCTAGCTCTGCTGCTGATCTCAAGAGGTTGAACTCTGATCTTCAGACTGAGATTGCATCCCTGAGGTTGAAGGTTTCCAACATGGAAGAAACTGAAGCTCAGCTCGCCTCTTCAGAGATGGAAGCAATGCTTAAAGAAGAGGACAAACAGATGGAAGAGCAGCTAGCTGAGGTGGAGAAAGCAGCTGCAGAGAGAGAAGCCGAGCTGCAGAAAAAGCTGCTGGAAAAGGAAGCACAGGTAACATCGCTCCAGAAGAGCCTGGAGAAGGCGCAGGAGCAGCGGGAGGAGGAGGAGAGCCAGGCGGTCCAGGAGGCCCGGCGCAGGGAGGTGGAAAGACGCAGGGAGCTGCTCGCTGTGGCGCATGAGGCCATCGCTCAGAAGGACATAGAGCTGGAGAAGAAAGGCGAGGAGATCAACAGGTAAGCGGTTATTTCCTTTTACTGTCAGGGTGGGAATTACATCTTGAAAGTTCTCGTAAAGGTTGGACCATATTTATAATAAGGTGTCTTTTTATAAACCTTAACTTACACTTAGTCCAGTTTTATAGCTCTGTCACTCCTGGTCGACACTAGCATCACAGAATGTGGGATGTCCTGACTCATAGCTTGGCTTTCTAAAACCAAGCTCTGAGGAAGGTCTGTCCCTGACTTGACCTGGCTCCAGATCACTGGTGGAAATTTAGGTTTTAATTCTGGTTTGCTATCCAATCAAATCTCACCATCCACATACTCTGATCATTTTGATGATGGTTCAGTTTGGCCTCTGATTTTCATGTGTATCTGTAGCCCAGGACTTACTGTTTATCCAGGGTTAACAAATACAAGCTTTGAGTTTTTCCTTGCCTATTAAACACAAGGTCAAGGTAATTGTCAGTGGGAAACACCTGGTTTTTAGGCAGCTTTTTTGGACGGCAATACCTCAGGTGTGCTCCTGGTCACAGAGACGGGTTATTCTCAGAACCAGTCTACACAGGCTTCCCTATGTGATACAAGAAATACACTTTGTGCTTTACCCAAACTATATTCTGCTGTCTCAGAAGATGTTTGAAGTCTTTAACAGAGACATATTAGAGACATTAAATTCCCATTAAAATGTTGATTATTTTATGACTCCTGTACTGTCTGCCATTCTCCAAGTCCCTTGATGAAACAAGAATACTTTGAATTTATTTTAAAGCCAGACAGGATTTAACAACTTAATGTGTTTTAATACAACAGTCAAAAAGAAGTCTTGCTCCATTAAAATATATTGCGTTGCCATTTTCAAGTACAGTGCTTTTATAGATAGATGGAGAGATACATACTTTTATTTGTCCCCGTGGGGAAATTGGTTTGCAGCGTAATCACAAAGACAGATACTCATCACAAAGTCACCCAAAGACATTCTTTTTTGTTGCTCTGCCAGTCAGTCACAATGTACCTCTCTGTTCAGTAACTGAAACAGTCTACAGGGTTCCTATAGGTGTGGAAAATGGCAAGTTCCGCAAGAAAATATATATTTTTTATTATGGATCATTGAGTCCTGGGTCTCTCAATATCTGTTTTTACATTTGACATCAAATTAATCTCCACAATGTCCGTCAATGATGGTCATCAAGAATAGCGAGTATGTAAAATTTTGCATTGCTCCTCCATTCGCAAGTCTTGTTGCAATGCTAGCTTTTAGGCATTAACTTAACAGTCAAAGAGCAGTGTCTCTAAATTAGCGTATGTTATACTGTTATTATGGAGTTGTTAATTATCCTCCCCTGCCTGAGATGATCCCCCCCCTGAGTTACAGAGAAAACTAATGAACACTGAGAGGTAAAGCAGTCTCTCTCTGTTACACCTTGGCTTGTGGCTCTGTAGTAGACTCGATTATTCTGTCATTGTGAAATACATTTTCTCTGTATTACCTTGCCGTGGTGTCCAGGGAGAGTTGCATTAATCCATCCATCTACCAACTCCATTAAAGAGTCTGAGGAGCGATGGTGCTGCTGCTCTGGCCCACAATGTACTATCCTGTCTTGTTTAAAGAATTGGTTGCAGTTCATTGTTATCTCATCCCACTCTCCCAGACTAAAAGAAAATGCCAAACAGGACTCGGACAAAGTCAAGAGCCTCAGCCTCGACCTTCAGAGGAAAGAGGACGACACTTCAGATCTCAAAGAGAAACTCGCCGACTACAAGAAGCAGATCCAGCAGGTCCAGAAGGAGGTACTTGTAGTTTTTTGAAAACCTATGCGACCTTCAATAAGTAGTTGATTTGTAAGTTGTTACTGTCAGTATGCAGCAGATTTATTGCTTCACTATTTGGGGGGTTGTAGCCCCCAAAGCGGTGTCTACTAAAATTTGTTGACATTTTCCAACAGCTGTGCATTTTAAACATGCTTTAAGTCCAAGAAATGTACAACTGAAAGTTCCAGCCAGTCACGTATTGATTTGAAGTATTGTTGATGCTATCTAATGAATTTCCAAACATTACATTACTGATTTTGGTGTCAAAAGTCTGAGCTAATCTTGAAATCTAAGCCAGAAACAATGGACTTAGTCCCACTCAGATGTGGTAACAAGTTTTCCCCTTCTCCTCTTTGTCCTTCTGTTTTGCTCTGTTGCTCCTTGCTGACGAACCAAAAAAAAATGTTTTTGTTATATATGTGTTTGGACAAAGTCATCAGGTCACTTGCCACTAGAAATGGGTATTTTAATACATTCATAAATAAATTTCACACTTCAGAGACTAGGGCTGCCACTTTATTTTTATTGTTGATAAATCTGTTGATTATTTTCTCAAATAATTTAGTTAGTTTATAAAATGCTGAAAAGTGCTGATCGGTGTTTTCCAAAGTCCAAGATGACGTCCTCAAATGTCTTGTTTTGTCCACAACCCAAAGACAGTCAGTTTACTGTCACAGAGGAGTAAAGACACCAGAAAATACTCACATTTAAGAAGGTGGAATCACAGAATTTTGACTTTTATTCAAGCTGATTAATCAATTATCATATTATTTGGTGATCAGTTCAGTTTTTGACACCTGTCTAAGCAAAATTAGACCCAGTGTGTAAAGACAGGGTCTGGTTAAGGGGTCACTGCGCACACTCTGGTCTCACGCCTAGTGGATTTTCATCTAAAACGGCAGCAGATTATCTCCACAAGTTGTGATGGAGCAGAACTCGACACAGTTGCACACGCTGGTCATTTTGGGTTATTAAAAGCACCTTCATGCTTTACATTGTGTCGCAGTCTTCGGATTTGACTTTTCTTCAGGGAAATTTGAACACAAAAAAATGGATAACTAGATACTAATTGGACACTGATATAAACAGCAGATGGCTTAAATTACTTTGACCTATGTTGTTGTGTTATCTTTTGATTTTGACTTGTTCTTTCCCCTGAAGATCTCGACCATGAGGGAAGAGGAAAAGCTTTTGAGGCAGAAGCTGGCTGACACTGAGAAAGCCAGGAAGCAGCTTCAGTCTGATGTTGCCAACAGAGACAGAACCATTCAGCTACTCAAAGTGGTGAGATAATGTGTCATTCACTTTTTCATTTACCAGAACAAATCTCTGAAGGCTTTAACTCTGTTTGTACTGGAAGAGCTGCACCCTCTTCCCTCTGTGTGCCACTGTGCAGTCCAACAGATTTCTCTTTAACTGCCTCCATACTGGTAGTTTGATGTGCCATGTTCATACGCTTGCCATCTTTTCATCCTCTCCTTATCAAGGATCAATCATCTGACACCAAGACTGACCAGACACTCCACCAGAAGACCTGTAAAGGTAAATGATACGTGTCTGTGTGTGTGCTTCACTAGAGGCATTTTGTCATCTTTGTGGGAAGGGAGCTGCTTTTGAAATCATCGTGGGCACTCTTGTCGGCCTGCAACAGATGATTATTGTCAACACTGATCTATGTTATTTTTTAAATTAATAATTTGGTCTAAAAAAAAAAAAGAAAAAAATCCCCATCACAAATTCCCAGAGCCCAAGGTGACCTCTTCAGATTTCTTGTTTTGTCAGACCAGCAGCCTGAAACCAAATCTTCAGTTCACAATCATGGAAAGAGAAGCAGAAAATTATTTCTTCAGAAAGTTTGTCCTGTGCCTGAAGTGAATCTCCTGAGCTGCTTTTCTGTTAAAAATGTTTGAGTAAATCTGTGGCTGACCTTTGAGCTGTTTTACAGAAGGGTAGTAGCAAAAAGGAGAACACCTCCCTCAGGGATCAACATTTTATGCTTCATTTATTGCTGTGTGGGAGCCATGTGTTCTCTTAATTAATTCTGGCATTCTGTATTTAAATCTGTACCTTTGTTTGTGGGTGGCTGGGTGTGCTTTTGTCGATTTGTAGAACTTGAAGCTAAGGAGCGTGTGATAGAGGACATGCGTTTGGCTCTGACGGAGCAGGAGGAAACACAGGACCAGATGGAGCAGGCCTTGGAGGAGAAACTTAACCTCATTCAGGAGCTCTCCAGTGGTAAGAATCTGAAAAATCAATGACAGAACATGAAAAGCAAACACAGACACTGTGAAAAGAATGTGGATTTTTATTGTTTTGAATTAAAAAAGGGGGTTTGGCCCGTGGACAGCTTAGTGTAATCCTCTTATCCTTGCAAGCTGCAGAGAAACAAGAATGTCCATAAAAGACATTAAATGAAACTGACTGGACACTGAGACTGGAGAAAACTTGTGTTTTTCTCACAACAACAACGCCTTTAAATTGGATACCAAAGTCAATTCAGTGAGTCAGCTAGGTCTGGGTCACTGTGAGAACAGGAATACAGGGTGCACAGTGTGTAGTGTAGCACACCGCAAGATGATGCACACATGAAATCAAATGCGGTAAAACACCTAAAGGAAACTTAACATACACACAGAAATGAGGTCACAGGCTCATAAAAGTATTAATCTTGTTAAAACTTTTTTTTCTTGTATGTCTTGTTCTTTGGTTTTAATCATTCCAGAGGTGGACAATTTGAAAGGGATGTTGTTGCAGCAGGATCGCCGTGGAAACGACACACGGCGTCAAGTCGACAACCCATCAGATGACCTTAACATGGCCAAACAGGAAGCTGCCCGGGCTCAGGAGAGCTTGAAGGTAATGAATGGAAGTTGTTTTCAAATGTTGTGTGAGATGGTGGGAGCAGAAGTGTTTGTCCTGGATTGCAGCATGAGGGAAGGAAACATTAAAAATGTAACATTTCAACAGTTTTGATTATTAATATACAACTAGTTAATGCTTGTTGAAAATTTAATAAATCAGGAATATTTTACTGATATGTGTCTGTGAGGAAACTTCGTCATCCACACAAGTTAAGGCAGCTGAATTCGTACATCCCTCCTTTGCATTCGACAACTCAAAAACCTGATCACATATATGTGCTTAGGTTCTTTAATTAAATCTAGATGAGACTAGACTGATGTCAGATCAGGTTAAATTGTCTTAACCATTTTGTGTTCAGTTGTGTGCAGATAAACACCAGGCCGAACGCAAAAAGTGGCTGGAGGAGAAGCTGTCCCTCATCGGCCAAGCTAAAGAGGCGGAGGACAAGAGGAACCAGGAAATGAGGAAGTTCGCAGACGACAGAGAGCGCTTCACTCGACAGCAGAGCCAGTTGGTAGGCTGAGAATGATGTGCAAACACACTAAACACTAACTTTGATATGTAAACATGCCACCATGATAGAATGTCAACACATAGCTGAGCTAAAGTACACCTGCAGCTGAGGCTGATGATAGTTGAACTAATCTGGCAATATAGAGTTAAGTCTGAAATGTCCAAAATGGCCACCGTACAGAGGATAAGCCATTTTGATTTGGGTGATATGTTTTTTTGCCACACTTTTGGTAATAGTCTAAGAGTACATTTTGAATGTACATTCCCCTCTGTATCAGGAGTCCTTGTCGTCCCAGCTGGCTGAGAAGGAGCAGGCTATGGAGAAGTGGAGGAAGGAGAGAGACACTCTGGTAGCAGCTCTGGAGGTCCAGCTGCAGAAGCTTCTCTCCAGCCAGACGGAGAAAGACAAACTCATCCAACAGCTGCGTCAAAATAACCCACAGCCGCCACAAGAGGTCAGTATGACATAAAGATGATGACGGACACAGAGACCACTCACTGAAGATGTAAAGTGTCAGAGCAGGCTGCATTTTAAACCAAAGAGAGTTGTCACGAGAATGTAGGTGAAATAGTTTTTAAAAAGTTAGATGTGCTTCAGTTAAAGGGGAGATGGAGACAAGGAGGAAGTATTAGTGTCTCACATCTCTCAGTCAGATAACATCCGTCTTGAGTTGTAAAGGCTTTTAATGGATTTTTCAACCCTCAGTAACAAAAACTAAAACAAGTCGCTGCTGTCCTCCATTTGAAACATCATAGTAGTATGTTTCACCTTTCTACACACTCCAATCAATGATGTCAGAGCAGTTAGTTCCTATCATCCGTCAAGGAAAAACACCTGCTGTGGAATCATTGATCGGGGTTTAGCCAGAGGTGAAACTTCACTGAAAGTTTGAACTGCATCAACAGTTTTCTGCCCCATTTCATTTAGCATTGATTCACTCTTTAGATGAGATGTACTGGGAGAACAGACCCCAGTGCTGTGCAGGGAAAGAGACTTTAAAACATCTCTCAAGCACCAAATTTACTGTAATCCTACAGAAGGTAAGGAGGGAGGGAGGGAGGGGCAGCTTTGGATCTCAGTTTGTCAGGTTTATTTGTAGAGCACATTTAAAAACAACAAGCACTGACCATTGTGCTTTCCTAAGAGATTAAATGGAATACAGGAATGATCAAATAAAATCAGTCATAAAAAAGGGAATATAAGTAAATTTTGTTTGTGACAAAATTCACCAGATAACGATAAATTGGAATTACTTGCCTGTGCCTTTTTCTGTTTAACACTTTTGAGCAGCTTATTAAGCCTTGGGTCAGTAGAAAGACTAATTCTCATCTCTATAAACTAGGGATGCATCAGTTGTAAAATTAAAATAACAATTTAGCTGATAACAATGTTTTGCTGCTGTTGTGTATTTTGTTTTTGTTATTACTTATTCCCCCTTTTGTGACAGGGAATCAAAGAAATTTTAATTATAAAAATAATAACTGTTTTAAAGTCATTCAGTCGTTCATTGCATTACCTTTGAATCAGGACAAATTTAGTGACAAACATTTATAAAACAACAAACAAATGTAACTTTTTTCACATTAAAAACATTTTAAAAAACTGCTTCAAAAGCCATTATTACTTTATATAAGTCCTTCTTTAATATCTATTTTATATTGCTGTCAAAACATCAACACATTTCTCTTTCAAACAGCTGGATTTATTCAAGGTTATTGCAGAAAACTACATTTTACAAGATTACATTTGAACACATCATGAAAACATTACAATTTACCTTCACCCAGTACTCATTTTTACCAAAGAAAATCTTGAACGCATCAGAAAGTCACTCAGTGCAGCCTCCATCCACTGTTAGTTCCAGCCATCTGCTGCTAACAGCTAACGTTTGCAATGTAGCATTATCAGGGAAACAATAGGGTCTATCCCATACAACAACTGTAGTGAGTGTACTGCATCCTTTATGGCATCCGCATCCTGGAGAAGATCTCTGTTCATCCCAACCATGTCCCAAAGAAAACGGGATGCCATCGTCATGCTTTTTAGCCTGCACAAAATTGATGTGACACAAGGGAAACACATTGGCCACTACCATCAGTGAACGCCATCTATACTATACGCAGACATCTGCATATGTTCGCAGAATCTGTAGGCAACAGAACAAGGTTTCGGTATCAGAAGCGTCCTGGTTTCTGTTTGTAATCTGAGTAGTATTGGAACACATTTGAGCAGGCTGTGGTTGCCAGTGGGTGAACAGTCCATGTGGACAGCAAAAAAAGGTAGAACGCATCAGCCAAAATGCAATTTCAGAAAGCTCCCGTCCGATGCAGATTTAGCTTTATATTACATTTTTTTAAAAAAAGATCTGTGTTCATATGCAGATATCTGTTCATAGAACGCCTAGACTCTGTGTATGTAGTGTCTTAGCATGCTAATCACACTGTAAACAATCAACGGTGCACAGAACAGGAAGTCTTGGCCCCGATATCCGTTATCCGGTTATCTGCTTATCTGCTGGCTACACTGGAACCCCCGAAATATTGGCCTTTACCCCCAGAGGCTAAATCTCGAGTCTGGACCAGTTCCATCTTTCTCTCAGCACCTTGTCTGGTAAACTGCAGGAGGTTTTTGTAGGTGAATTAGCATTGTCAATGTGGAGCCATATCTCTGTTCCACACACGTTGCATTTTAGTATTTTGCACATTGCTCTCTCACATTTTGTCCTCACTGGGCTTTTGTTTGGTTTTTCAAAATAACGGTTTCTTTCATTGTGAGCAGACAGTTTCCCAGGATAAGTACAGGACAGACAGTGTGAAGGGCACGCTGTAATGATACACCAAATCAAATTGATGCGCAGCTCAGCGTCTGGTACAGCTGTGTTGATTTAAAACTTTGGGAGAATTGCACCTAATTTTATGCAAGCATCTTTATCTGAAAAACCACAAATGATATGAAGAAAACGCGATACATGTGGCAGAGTGCAGAATCTGCCACAGCAGGGACACATCCAAACTAATCCCTACATATACAGGGATTATTAAAAGTACTGACTCTTTTATTAATAGTGAACAAGTACAGTGTCTCATAGGATGCTGTAATGGTTCAAAATTTAATTTAAATTAGAGGACTTTTAACCAAATTTATGCACAAATATTTCTTTTTTCAACCAGTGCTTGAAAAGTACACTTTAGTATACCCCATAATATTTCATATTGACTATTCATATTTTAGACAGCTGCGTTAGATTGTGTTGAAATGTTGGCTCCTTAAATGTGAATATTAAATTACATTATAGAGATGTTTGTCTCCCCTTAATTAACTTTAATGGAGAACTTGTAAACTCCTTTTTAATATCATGCAGTCAAATGTAGGAACACCAGTAACCATGAGGACTAAGAGTGTTGAGCTTTAATATCCGCTCTCCTCACCCTATCTCTAAGGCTGAGCCCACCCGCCCTACAGAGGAAACTCATTTTGGCTGCTTGTATCCGCGATCTCATTTTTTCGGTCACTACCCAGAGCTCATGAACATAGGTGAGGGCTGGAACGTAGATGGACTGGTAAATTGAAGGCTTTGCCTTTCAGCTCAACTCCCTCTTCACTACAGTAGTCCCACATCACTGCTGACGCCCAACCTAACCACCTGTCCATCTCACACTCCATTATACCCTAACATGTGAACAAGACCCCGAGATACTTCTGTTATTGCTCTTTCACTTGGAGCAGTAACTCTCTCCCAACCCAGAAGGGCAATCCACTGTTTTCTGGCAAAAAAGCATGGCCTCAGACTTGGAGGTGCTGACTCTCATCCCAACCACTTCACACTCAGCTACACCGCCCCAGTGCATGTTGGAGATCACGTTGTAATAAAGCCAACAGAACCTCATCATCTGCAAAGAGCAGAGATGCAGTTCTGAGGTCTCCAAACCAGACACTTTCCTCCCCTCTGCTGTGATTGTCTTGTTTTTGTAGGTTTAATTAAAGATTTTGTCAATTTTATACTGTTGAGGCAAACTGTTTATGCAGCTCTTTGTGCTGAGACGAGGTTTAACTGAAAGTTATTAGCAAATAATTTGTTAATATTCAACCAAGTAAATAACTAACAATGTATTGTTTTGGACAATGTATTGTTTTGAAATTTGGGTAGCAAAACAACACAATACAATACCAAGTTCTTGTACCAATGACCTGAAAAATTGCCATGGAGTTTATTGAGCGCCTCTCTGACACAGCCAGGACCAAACCAAAATATTATAAGCTTCATTAAAAGGAACTGACTGCAGCACAGGTCCGAGGCCAGAGGCGAATGTGCACTGAAAAACATGCACTGTTTCCCATGTCCACATCTGAGGAGAGTGTTTTAGACACTTAGATAGAACCTTTCAATGTTTGATAAAAACTTCAGCAGAGTTGTCTCTTTGTTCATACATTTTAAAGACATGTCCTCTTTTTCAGGCATTCCAGCTACACATCACTCCATGCCAATGCTATATTTTGCTCCAGGATCAGACTCCTGTCTGTCTAAACGAATGCATTTTATGTTTTCAGGGTGAGACAAACGTTCGGGATCAGAGTCATGGTGCACTAGAAGCAATTCCATCATTTGTTTCACATACAGCTCAATCTTTCCAGAGTTTTCCACTGATTGTTGTCTTGTACATTTGCCTGGGGATATTGGGCATACCTATATGGGTTTCCACGGTTCCTTGCTTGCTCAAGATGTCGCTTTGTTTTTGTGTCTCCGTGAATATGAACTGTACATCTCCGTCATACATGACAACCTCAGCTTTGTGTAGCAAAGCAATTTTTGATTTCACTGTGTTTGCATGTCCAACATGCATTCAAAAGGAATAACTAGTGCCTTATCCTTAAGGCTGTATTTGCTAAGGAGTTTTAGATGCAAGTGATACTTGAGCAAAGTGTAATGCCTGCCAATTTTCATGCTGATGGAATTTTGAGATGAAAACTTTTCGATGCTCACAGATAAATAACAGTTTTGTAGCCTGCCTCCCTGTAAAAGAAAAATCCTTTCAGTTTTCTTATTATTGGTTGCTTGTAAAGTTTCAGGTTTAAATCTTTTAATCTTGTTTTCTATTGCATTAAGGTGTCTAAGCTCAGGATAACATTTATGATGGAAAACATTGAAGAGACGATAGATAACCTCCTCAGTTTTCATGGATTTCCTGTTACAGAGTGGTGATGGCGGCGTCAGCTTGGCGGAACTGCAGGCTGCTCTGTCTGAAAGAGAAACAGAGATCCTACAACTAAAGGAAGAGCTCAACGCCTTAAAAGCCAAGCAGGAGGCCACGGTCACACAGGTCAGTCTTAAAGGGATACTCAACCCAAATTATGATCTTTTCAGTATCATTTAACCACAGCTGCCTGCTTGAAAGGTGGCTGTTTAAAGGTTTGTGGTATTGTCCTTCACAAAGAATAGCAGCAGTGCTCATTTTGATTTTATATCTTTGAGAATGTTTTCGTGGTGGATCTAAACATTACATGTTCTAAGGAGTTTTGTAGCACCTAATATATCATAATGCTCTTTCTGTTTTAAACCCACCTGAGCTTTAAATGCTCTATCTTTATATAAGAATCTGTGAAAACCAAGGAAGCGCCATGAAGCACTCCTCTGGTGTCCTTCCAAATGGTCACTCTGTTCCAAACAGTGTCAAAGAGAGCCATGTACTGAAAATGATTGTACTTTTAGTCTCACATTAAAAAAAAATGAATGTTGGAACTTTAAAGGTCCACTGTGTAAGCTTTAGGGGGATTTAGTGGTATCTAGCGATGAGGATGACAGATTGCAACCAGCTTAAACTTCTCCTTCACTGTTAACTATTCAGGAGGTTTCTACCAGAAGCCAGGTTATCTGTAAATGCGTCTCCAAAACAAATGGACCTGAGGGTGATTGAAACGGGTAAAAACACTGAATAAAACATTTTCCGGTTAAAAAAAAAAAAAAAAAAAAAAGCTTTCATCACAGAGGGGCTGCTTACTACAGTGGCCAACTTGAAAACGCACATGGCCCTATCTAGAACCAGTAGCCCTTTTTAGATAGGAATTGTGCAAATTTGCAGGAAAGCCCAATCAGTCTTTTTTCAGCATTGGCAGTATAAAAACAAAATCGGGGAGTGCAGCAAAATGCCGCCTACCTACTTTTGTTTATACAGAATGCCCCTTTTTCGGGGCAATGGGGGACGTGAGCAAGTAACAAAACATGTGGCTCAGCGTGTGACGTAAACAGTGACATGGGAGGGAAGCCACGGCTAGTCAAGCGGCGATTCTCTCGTAAATCGGCCCGTTCCTCACCGTCCCCGTCATCTGCCGGTTAATGGCCTCTTCGTTTGCGAGGGCAAGGAGTGCGCGCAATTCCTTGTCTCCTCAGTTGCTCATCTTTACAGTGTCTGTCAGGTTTGCGTTTCCCTCTTGCTACTAGCTGCTCACTAATTCCTGCTATCAGCTGTTTCCTGTTTATCCATCGCCAGTGGGTCACACGTGCGGCATCATCAACAGCTCAACCCACAAGTCTTCAACAACCCCTCCCGTGGCGGAAGGCCACCTCGGTCTGTTTAAACTTAAAGGGTTCCGCCAATATTTTTACCCTACGAGGAGGAAAATTGGGTGCCTTGGATCAACTCGCCAATCCGTCTCTGTGTGTATAAACACTCGCAGCTTGCCGGCAAAACAGCCCAACATTCGCGGAAAATCTGGCAGTGTAAAAGGGGCTAGTATTTGGTTTGTCTGTTCTGGGCTACTGTAGAAACATGGCAGTGCAACATGGCGATCTCCATAGAGGGGGACCCACTCCCTATGTTGATATTAACAGCTCATTCTAAGGTAACGAAAACACAACAATACCTTTTTTCAGGTGATTATTCACTAAAGAAAACATACCAATTATATTATATTCCATTTCTGCCAATATGTCCCCCTAAATCCTTCGCAATGGTCTTTTAAATTGAATTAAGAAAACATAGCTTTGTAGATTTTGTTTTGTAGCTAAAGCCAGAGATGCTTGTGGTTTGCAGGATGACAGGCAACAGTATAGTTTTGCTCTTAGGTTTTAATACTGATGTTTGTTTATATATTTATTATGGCCAAGTCAGGAGTAAACAGGTCGGAGCACACAGGATAGAGATACAGTACGAGCCTGGGAGGGTACATGATTGATTGTTTGTTTGTTCAGTGGTTTAACCTGACTCCTTTTTTGTTTTGTTTTTCTTTTTAGCCCTTGTTCAAATATGTGTGAGGTGTAATTACACAGTGAGAACTAGAATATAATAAAAGACAGGAAGAGAATTAATGGATTAGACTCAGAACTCTAAGTCGCATGCCAGTGACAAGGAAAGCGTCTTTGCCCGCCGGGCTATCACCTTCCTACTTTATTTATTCATGGATTGTCCTCAGGTGCTCTCCATCTTCAAAGTGAACAAAAATGTGGACAGCAGACCACAGGCTGTCATGACTTTGATCTTTCTGAATTTCTTGTTTTGAACTTGAGTACAGCAAAGTACAACATGGATTGGTTGCCAGTGGTAACCTTTTCTGACACTGTGTGTGGTGGATTGAACAGCATCTGTATGTGAGAATCTGTCTACTCCAGAAACAGAGAACTCACTTTAAAATGCATAGGATAGTGTTCTTTGTTATCTGTACAGCTTCGTCAGTCTGAAATCCACAGCAGAGGCTGTGGTTGCACCAGGCAGATAAATGTAGGATGAAAATGCATTAAATAATGCATTAAATGTATCAACATGTTCCGGATGTTATGCTTGAAGTCATGATTTATGGTATTTTCAATTTCTTATTCTGCCTGTGACAGACTAAAAGCAACAACAGCCCTGCTACACTGGTTGGAAAACCCCAGAGTGACACTATTAAAAGAAAGTCAGGAGGTCGGAGGGACACCAGAGCATCAGTCAGCAGTCAGGTAAGCTCATGAGATGACATGAATATGGAAGAAATGCATCAGTAGTATACTTTATGAATCAAGTCAAAAACTTTAATATTGGGTTTGCAAACACACGTTGAAGTTATTAAATATAGAGGTTCATTTTTTTCACAATGTTTCATGAATATATCTTTTAATTCAGTTTTGATGCAAGTCTAAAATTATAGCAAAACATCGTTTTGAATTGAACTCGCTTTGCAGAACAGGCTGATTTATCTACATTTATTTTCTCAAACTTGCCAAACACTTAGCCTGCTCCACAATTTCACTGCCAAAAACAAACAAAAAAAGACATCCCATTTTAAGTAAAGCTCCAGATAGCTGACATAAGGTGGTCTGAGGCAGTCACTGGTCAGGACATTTTGGTCTGGACATTATCTCCGTCTACAAATCATGTGGTGGGAGGTATGTCAGTGAGCCTGCAGCTGGTCAGACAGGAACATCAGACAACTAGAAAAGTGCACTCAGTAGAGTGCAGATCCCCGCCAGGTGGCTGCCAGAGATGATCATGGCCATTCCAGACAATTATGTTCCAGCAGATGCACTGCAGGGCATTTCAGAAGTGTCCCAGAAGCTAATACAAAATACAGCCTTGTCTATTTTCTTAGGAGCTGCAGCGCGTTCACAGAGCAGATTGAGTTCTCCTGCAAACAGGCACTGTGTGAAATATAGATACAATGAAATAATGAGGGAGGATGTATTTTTGATAACTAAAACACAGCCTGAAATCTTTGAGCCATGTCGTTCATAACTGGACTTAAACGGTATTAACTTTGTCTGTAGACTGCAGCACAACAAAGTAGAAAATAACAACAGTAAACAATTAAAGCAGGCCAAAAAGAACCCATAGCATACTTACTTTGGACAGGAGCACAAAACTTTTCGGATGCTATCTTGCTCAGCAACAGTCCACAGGTGTAGGCTGCTGGGTGGCTTGACCTCGACACCTTGCAGTAACTGACAGACCAGCCTGTAACCTCAGAGGTTACAGGCCCAGACACATTTATCTCTTGAGTGACCAGAAAATGACCTTAAACCTTCAAATCATGTGTTGTCCCACAGGGCTCAGCTGGCTATCCATCAGTGCTAGAATCCTCTGAGATTTCCACAGAGAACGGCAGGACGAGTCGCTTCCCGCGGCCAGAGCTGGAGATCTCCTTCAGCCCTCTGCAGCCAAACCGCATGGCTCTGAGACGCCAGGGAGAGGAGAGCGCCGTCACCGTCAAAATCACCCGCTCCACACGCAAGAGGAAGAGTGGAGAGATGGAGAAGGTAAGATCCAATCAAACAAAAACAGCTTGCCCACACATTCACCAGGTGTTAAAACATATCCAAAGTAAGAGATATATGAATATTATTGATAAGCGAGGTCATCAGTATGGCGGTTTAAGTTTTGAATAGATTGAACATTTTCGTGGATACATTTTCTTACTGTCTGTATCCAACGACAAAACATGGTGCACGTGAAAACATCCCGCCGCACGAACCTGCATCTGTACACCATGTACCAGGTTTCCTAAAAATAAATCCTCCCTTGATAACTAAAAAACAACTGTGTGGCATGAGCTTCAGAGATGGGCTTTTTCAGTTATTTTCAGGGATGATAGTTCATTTTTCACACGTTCTGTGGAGAAAATGTTAGTGTGAAACCTTTCCCTCAGCTGCTATCAATCTAGCACCAGTACTGCAGGTTTGTTTTAAAAGTTACTTCTGAGAAAGGAGCAACTGTAATGGCAGTCGTAAATTTGGCACTTCTATACTAGAACATAGCAAACTCAAAAAGTTTCCCCTGAAGCTATGTGTACTGGTTTTGAAATGATATATCAGTATATGAAATATTAAGGTATTAAAAAGTATGTAAAGGGGTTGTCATTGGGTGCAAACTCTGTGGTTGCAAGAACCTTGGTCATAAAGCCGATATTAGACCCTCATTTCTTGTGATTCCGCGATTCTCTTTCTCTGTACCTCTCTCTGTGTGTTTACATATAATGAAGCACAACTTATAAAAGGGTCAAATTCAGAATCAAGATCCCCCCCCCCCCCCCCCACTTAGAATTGAGATCACAGTTTTCCCCCATGACTCCTAGTGGCACCATTGTTTTTCTAATGGAAACATATAGACAGCTAATGTAACTGCATGACACATTTAATTGAAGGGCAATCAACTAAGTGTTTTCTCTACTCTGTAGAACACTTTTGAAAAATGTTTTCCTCTGTGTTTAGTAACAAGATTATAATTGTAACTTAGAGTGCTTTCAGACCTAGAGTTTACTTTCTTTGGTCCAAATCAGGGACTAATTCTGTCACAAAGTATAATTGCAGAGAGTTGGTTCGTGTTCTCATGGCAGCATTTACAAGCGGACCAGATCAAATTCCTTGTGTGAGAAAGCTGCTCTTGATTGGTCAGAATTTCCATGTGGGAAAAATCCAGGAAGTAAACCAAATGTTGAAGAAGACTACACTTGCAAGATAAATGTGACACTTTCTAATGTCACAATGGAGGGACAACTACGCAGGTTGATTTTAGCGCTGCTCATCGTGGACTATATTGCTGTCATTGTTCATTTTAGTCAAACCATACAGTTTGAAAACGAGGCGCGGCTCCAACTAGAAAACAATGTTTTGATGCATTGGATGTGCTGAATGTGCATATTAAGGCAGTACAGGAGGAGGTGCACATTAATAATCCTCCAGGACTGTAACATGCTCATGCTTAACCCAAACAGTGTGTCATGTGACTGCAGTTGGTTCGGTTCAAGGTCGGAACACGTTCTCACCACAAATGAACCACACCAAATTTTGTTTGTAACTGGACCAAGATCACCTCTTAAAAAAGGTCTTGGTCTTGGTTGTTTTGGTGCACTGCAACCTCAGTAGTTGTCAGCGTGTGCTCTAGTCCTGTGTGATCCTCAAAGCACACACAACATGGAGAACAGTTGGGAGAAGGCCTTGAGTAGCATTTGTCCTGTAATACATCAGTCCATTGTTTGCAGTGGTGAGTAGAGCTAAATGTGTAACTAAGGTAATAATCCTTTTAATGCTCTTCTAGATGTTTCAGTGGTCAACAACAGGGTTTTCCGCTGAGGATTTTCTTGGCCTTTTGTTATATAAATCCATGTTGTAACTTTTGCCTGCGAAGTATTGTAGATGCTTTTGACTGTCATCATCTTTGAATTCAGCAAACGATACAGTGTAATGCACAGCTGTCATATGTTGCTGTGGCTCAGAAGGAAATCATTTATTTAGCAGCAGACCGTTTTGCTAATGCAAATATGGCTGTATAATCACACAGAAATGAGAATATTGTATGTCACAAATATAAAATTGATACAAAATATGCAATATGTTTTTTTTTCTAAAGTTTTAGGTAGTGCACAAGCACATTTAAAAAGTAGGAAAAGTGTTGTCTTTAACTATGGGCCCCAGTGTTGTGCAGTTGCCAGAAGCTCAGTGAATGCAATTTGTATACTGTGTAGGCAATGTGTGACTAGAACAAGTAACAAAGTCACAAGCCAATCCCACTTGTACCATTTAGAAAGGGATTACAAAGTTTTCATCCTATGAATTTGTCGATACTATAGATGCTCTCTGAAACCAATTGTAAGTCACACACTATCTGGAGAGCTAATCCCAGAACAGGCCAAAGAGGCTCCATGGAAACAATTCCAGAATGTGAGACAAACTCTGTAGAAAAGTGAAGCTTCACTGGAGGGTGAACCGGGTTGAGGTTGTTTTCAGGACACCGACTCACTGGAATTTGATTAAATGCAGCAGAGGAGCTGCACTTATGTTAATTTGTTTGTTCAGACTAATGCAAGGGAAGTAGGCTAATGCCTCTGCTACGTTTGGCTCCCAAAGGCATGTGACACATGTATATACACATTTGCACTGCTTGGGTTTACATGACACCACAAATTATTATTAAGCAGCACAGACATCTTTTCCCAAAAAAAAAAAAAGAAAGAAAAGAAAAGATAACCAATGCACATCATATTCATGGTAAATTTTCCGACCTTATTGTCTACAACAAAGAAAACGTTCTTGGTAAAACATATTCTATGGTTACTGTATAATTATGAGTAGAGAAAATAACAAAGAATTAAATAAAATGGTGCATGTAGCCTTTTTTAGCTAACTTAAACATACCAAAATTGGCAGCCATTCCAGTTTTGGAATATTTGTACAGCAGAATATTTTAGTGTTGAATATTTTTGTGAAAAATGTTCTCTGACAGGAAGTAATTATAGAAAGAAAAAAAAATGCAGCTTTTGCCAAATCATACACTTCAAACAATCTATTCTCCCTCTTGAATGTTTTTCAATCTGCCGGCCTCAATAGAAAAAAAAACAATGCTTAATCCTACAACCAAAGATCTTTGGCATCGAAATAAACAGGATGTAATACATGATTCAAGGCCAGATTTTTGCTTCATGTGCATGTGTCCTTAATTTTGACGGAATATTCTCATTTTCTTCAAACCCCCAATAAAACCTTAATTTTAGTGGTGTTAACTTTACACCATGTGATAAATTGTGGCTATTAAACATACAGTAAAACACTCACACATGCATATACCATTCACATAGGGGTGAGAGAAAACAAGCTCATTAAACATAAATACCACTTACAAGGAGAAACACACTCACTTTAGAGATAGCAAAGGCACACACTCCCCCCAGAGATCATATTAAACAAGCATCCCACGCGCAGAGACACAAGGTCGGGCACAGTTCACCCATCGCATCACTGTTCCTCTGTCACTGTCTGCAGAGGTCAAGGCTGGTTGCAGCTTGTGCAACTCCTGTTTCAGAAATCCTTCACTACTTCCTCTTTTCTTTTTCTACCTTTGACAACAGTTTTAAAAAACACATGTTGGTTTGCATTTGGAAAAAGGACAAAAAGAAGAAAAACTGCAAAGGTACACCATTATTTCTACTCATTATTTCCTCTCATTGACTTTATTAACATAAGATAAGGCTTTAATTAGCCCCAGAGGAAGATTCAGGTGTATGTATGTATGTATGTATCTGTACTTATTTCTGCACAAAGGCAGAAACAAGTACAGATAAATAGACAAGTAAAAAGTTAGTATGAATACAATTAGAGATATATACTGTGCAACTAGTATAGGAATATAAGTAGTTATATGAACTATACAAAAGTAATTACAGACAAAAAATACATGAATGTTAATTTTCCGAATATGAAAAACAAGATGTCTCTGAGCAAATAGCAGATAACACATATAAACCAGTCAGTGTTTTCCTGCTGCCTCTTTCATTATGTCCTCTAGATCACAGATATTGTACTCCACGCCACGGCTCCAAATATAGCGACATAGTAAGGCCCAGTAATATCATAAATCATCATTAATGCAGTTTTACGCTCTTGGCTGCTTGTTGCTCATCTTGTAAACACTGAATTTCCCTTGTTTCCGCATAATCCCAAGCGGCAGTGTGCTTGGGAGGTGCTGATTTATTCAGAGTTGTTAGGCATGAAAACACCTTATGCCTGCTCAATCATTCTTGCACGTGCTGTGTCTTAAGTTTACAACTGATAAAGTTACTTTAATAGCAACTGCAATACAAGCCATTATTGAGGCAGCCAATTTCGTGCACAGCAAACCAGAATGAGGAAATGATAATATAAAGATAATATGAAAAGGACAAATAAAGGAGGCTGTGTTTTGCTTGATAGTCATGGTTGAGACGAACTTTGAGTGAAGCAGCTATCATGTGGTGACTTGCTTAATGCTCCAGTCAACAGGCCACTTGTCATTCATGTCATCAGGTCTAAATTAACAGTGCTGCAAGAGTTCAACCTGCAAACAAGTTTTTGTTTTGCATATTTTGTTCTGTGATATAGCATCATGAGAAGCACTCAAACACATATGAACGCAGTAACATTGCTCAATGTACTTTATCACTTCAACACCACACAGTAGCAACTGTTTTCTTATATTAGCCAACAAAACATACAATGGTATTATTTTTTTCAGAATTAAATAGTTGTTTGTCGACTTCATTTTGATTCATATTGTAAAAATGATTATATAATGGTATCCTTTTATAATGTTAAATACAATTTTAAAAACTGTTCCTGAGCAAGCTGTACTTGAAAACAAACAAAATTAGTTGTTTTTTGTTTTATATATAAAACATATAAGGTGAGGCACAGTTATTTTATCAGTTAGAACACCCTATTTGCTTTCATTTACCATACTGCTGTTATGTAGCTATATCTACAGTATTGGAAAATGTCAAAACTGGATT